TGCATCGGCTTGCTGGAAGTCACTTGCGCAGATGGAGCGAGAATAGCAAGCTCTTGACATGATGCCGGAGTGCGCCTTGTTTTGTGAGATGATTTGTTTGTTCGTTGGCCGCGCACATGTTTCGGAACACCTGCAACACGGGATTAGACCCGAGAATGTCACTGCCAACATCCCACCCTTTCCTATGCACGCATTGCAACGGGAGAGAAACAACCAGAACCCCCATGCTTGAGGCATGCCCCTCGAAAATTCAAGTGTAGCTGTGTAGCATCCAAGCTTCCGCTTTGTCACCAGCAACATCTTTGCACTGCAAGTATTTACGCGCGCATCCGTGAAACTGCCAGAAGGAACTCAGCCATTCAGAAGATCCCTGGGCGGTGACGCACCTCCCTGTTCAACGCAGCACCGAGCCAAACAGAGAGTGCAATGGCTCCGGCTTTGCAGCCCAGGCTGTACAAGTTTCAGCGGTGGCCGGTTTTGGTGGATACCTCGCGCTATCCCAGCGCGTCTCGGCAGCCTGTGTCATCCGGTCGCCTTCCGAGTGACACCCTAGGCTCCACGCATCTCACGATTTGCAGGGAGCGAGGCATGCAGACGATTCATCCAATGGTATATATATATATATATGTATATATATATATGATATGTATATATATATATGTATATATATATAGTATATATATATATATATATGATATTGATATATGCATTGGTTTCTTGCCACCTGGCACTTGGTCAGTGAAGCTCCTTGCTCTTGATGTGCATGATGGTGGGTTTTTGCCGACCACGGGCGCTGGCCTTTTTGAGGGTGGCCTTTTGGCAAGGGAAACCAAAAGGAAAGCTGCCCTCTTGGGGATACTCCCAATTTTGCACATGACCTTATGTTGCCCCTTGCATATCTCAACGCCATCTACCAACCAGTGGTGCTTCACGCATCTCTCGAAGTTTGGGGTCCTTTCGGCGGCTCGGTTTTCGGTTTTCAGGCTGGGTGGCTGTTTGGGAAGTCGGGAAGAACCAAAGCACGAAACCACACCGCGCCAAAGAAAAGCAAAACAAAGCAAACCCGACCAAGCCAAGCATAGCCAAAAACAAGCCGAACCAAAACGAAGCCAGAGGTTCCTTGAGGGTCGGCGGGTTTTGGGGGCGTTTGGTTCAGGCCACCCGTGGCCTGGTGCTGGCGGACCGCCGGGGCGGGCCCCGGAGCCCGGCGCCACCGGCCAATGCCACGGCGCCCGACTCGGGTTTTTTCAGTTTGAGACGCAATAATTCTTCCATTTGCCCAGTGTTGTACAAACATATCTTCTCGCGTTGGAATTAGAGGGAATCTATCGTTACTGGGGTATTTTGGTTTGAGACGCACCGAGTTCTTCCATCTAGGGTTGTTGCTTTGGTGGGATTTGTTAGGATTTGTGTACACCAACAGGAGAAAATATGTTAGGATTTGTTGTACAAACATATTTTGTCCTGTTGGTTTTAAAGGGAATCTAGCACTACTGGAAATAGGTCATTTTGTTTGCTCCTCCCATCAGTTTGGGAATCTAGCGCTTCTTCCATTTGCTTAAGATGTTTTTTCTCCTGCCTGGCAGCTTGGCCGGATACCGGAGAGGACCCAAAGTGATATGGGGGTTGATCAACAGGTCAGATGAACATGGGATGACCAAAGGGGAAAACCACTGAGCAAAGAATACTTGTTTTGGGATTCTGCTGGATTGTAAGTGGTTTCGGTTTGTGTCTAATTACTACCTATGTTCCCAAAAGGGCGCCTTGGGCTGGGGCTGTTCCAACACAGGCACAGACTCCTCTGATTCGATGACATGCGCGACCGTCCAACAACGATTTCCAGGCAGAAGCCATCGCAGCTGTAATGTTCCACCGTTCCACCTTGCACAAATCAAAGTCCTTGGTGATGCTGCCAAGGAAACAAGGTACTTTCAGAAAGTCCCGAGAGAACATGCAGAATCGAGGAGGAAACCGTGACATGAGTCGCATGTACTCTCCATGGCCAATGAGCTCAGCGTGGTTCGTTGTAAAACATCAACAACAAGTTGATGGGAGCGAGACCAACCGCGTATTCACACAGGACCCACCCATGCTTCTCGTCCCCGGTCTCTTTTGGTCCGTGCTCCAATCATCCGACAGGTCTTCCGTGGGTTTGTGGCTTTGTGAAAGCCGGCTGTCTGATTTCCAGTACGGCCTGGAAAGGGAAACAAGGCCATGTCATGCTCCGGGTTCTACTAATTAATCAGTTCCATGTCTCTCTCTATCTCTGATGCATATATGCATATATATATATAGATATATACATATATATATATATACATATACATACGTGTATATACTTATATACATACGTGTACATACATATACACATACGTGTATATACAGACATATATACACATACAAACGTATACATATATGTATATATATATATATGAAAGAGATAGAGAGAGAGAGAGAGATGCATTCCTTGACAACAACATAAGTGGCTCTTCGCATCATCGTTCCATTTCCCGAGTTGCACAACCAGACACGAGTTCGCCAAACTGGGCCGCCGGGCCGGGCCGGGCGCGTAGGTGCACTTCGGCATGGGCGTGGACGCCGCTGGGGCCAAGGCGCTGCTGTTCTCCCGCCTCGGGCCGAAAGCTGCGCCCACCTGGGCCTGAGCCTCGCTCGGGGGCTGCTTGGGCTCCGCTTGCTTCGCGAGGCGCGACGCCATGTGGCAGTCTCTGGCCAATGGTCCTCAACCCTGTTCCCTGAACAGTGTCACCAGTCTCTGGGACATGGAAAAAGTGGGGGAGGGGGTCTGGGTGACACTCGGACTTGCCATGCAGTACTGAATTGAGAGCTGCCAATATTAAAGAAGACCCCAAAAGAGTCAGATTAAACAGGATCAGCAGTGGCTCCTGTGTGGGCACCCCCCCCCCTTGTGACAGTGTTCGGGCTTGTGTTGTAAGAATTTATCTTGAATTTCATGGTTTGGAGACCACTCACCAAATTGAATTGCCTAGATCTAAGGCACGTAGCCGCAGCCTTTGAGCTGGGAAGAGCTTGGGGTAGCTGAACCACCCTTTACAAAGGGAATTTATCATGGACGGTAAATGCACGGCTTAAATTGAACGCTCGAAGCAATTGGAAGTTCCCAGTGCTGGGAAGCTTCTGGCCAGTTCTGGGTCACAAGCATGCGCGGCGCGCGCCAAGAAGGAGTTCTGCCTACGTCCTTGCGGCAGTGCTTGTTTGGCGCCACGAGTTGCAGAGCCCTTGCGGCATTTTGCCGCCTTTAGATCAAGCGAGGTGTGCCAAACACAAGTCATATTTGATCTCGCCATGCGCTGCTTGGCGATCCTGACAACTTTCATCGTGGCAGATGCCTTGAGGGACGAGATGCATGCCCAGCCTGGTGCCCTGCACACGACTTCCAAGCAGAGGTGCTGCGCAATCCTCAGGAATGAGCGAAAGACCGAGCATGTGTGCGCCTCGCTCAGACATCTATAGGTTTTCTTTCTTTTTTTTCCCATCATTTCCCGGTCATTTAGTGTTTGCCGTAGGGTTCCAAAAGCAGATTGGTACATCCCTAGCTTTTCAGGCGCTGACTAAGGCCGGAGTCAAAACCAGAAATGCAACGGGTTCAACAGCCGTTCAGACGATGTGAAGTTCACATACCAGGAGGTTGACCCGGAAGAGTGTGAAATGATTGGCGTGGGTGGGTGCACCTCCAAGCCTCCTCACCTCACTGAGCTCCGGAAGAATACCGTCGCGGAAGAGGAGGTCGACGACGACGAAGAGGAGGAGTAGTTCTTCGGGCAATAACGCTCCGGAAAAAGCACACACCGAGTTTGTTTTTCGATTTTGCCCCGTTTGCCGGGGGGGGGGGAATTGCAAAAGATGTTTTTGCTTTGGGTCGCCACTTGGAGCCAATGTTGGATGTTGAGGGAGAATCCGGTTTGCTTCTAAACTTGTAAAGGGAGCCAACAGAATCTGATTTTCTCATGGCCCCGGTGATGACTGCTCGATTGATCAAGTGAGAAACAAACGGAACCAGAAACACAGGAAGCAAGCATGTCACGACACGCTTATAAAAACGTGAAGCAGTGTTCATGCCTGGTTGATCAGAGAGCCCTTTTTTGCATTTCCTAATGGATCTCGCTCCTCCTAAAGGGTCCTTGGGTCAGAGACTCCGACAAAAGATGCGCCACAAATTCCAGCTGCGCTTTCGGGCAGTTGGAAGTTGGAAGTTGCTCAAACGGCTCTTTGTGTAAAACGATGACTTGGTTCGGCCCCGGGCCAGTCACTGGGGAGAGGTTCTTCTTGTGTGCCTTCCAGCGTGACTAGGGTAACTGACAGATATAATTGATTCTCTATGTGTTGGTTGTGATAGGTGACTCAGGAGGTAGTGCAGTGGTAGCTTCGTTTTGCACTTGGCTTTGCGCGTGCTCGTGTGTTTGGCCTCAGCTTTTTGTTGGCGCCCGTGGCTCGTGTATGTTCCGGTATGCTTAAGAGGCCACTCGACACAAACACCTGCAATGAACTACCCTCCGAGCGGCAGTGCTTCAGGCATAATCGCCTCCATCATTTGTGAAACCTTCTGTAACTGATGTGTCAACTCATATTTGTCTGTGTGTGTGTGTGTGTGTGTGTGCGCGTTTGTTTTTGTTTGGGAGTAGCCTGTTTGGAGTTTTAAAGTAAAACAGGGGCGATACCTATTCTTGGATCCATTTTTGTTTCTCAAAGAGTTGCTCTTGGCAGGCCGCTCTGGGGCTGCTTGAGCGCCAGAAAGCGGCGCTTGCCTGCTGAGAGATGAGAGGGACCCTGAGGATCCCATTGTTCAACTTAATGTGTTCAGTGGCTTCCTTGTGAACATTTCAGGGGGTCAAAGGTTCACTTTCGTTCTGGTACTCTTACCTGGCAAATGACCTCTCGGGGGACCCCCTCCCCCCGCGAGGTGGTGATGTTTTCGTGCATGGACCCACGCTTGCGCCACGGGTCTGGCTGGAGTCTCCCAGGTGAAGCTTACGGCCGGAGCCCGGGACTGAACTGGGGAAAAGAGCCGCTGAAAGGTCAGAAGCGCGACCGAGCAGGTTTCCTGGTATTTGCCTTTTGGGTTTGAACACCACCCTTTTGGGCCAATTTCAAAATGAGTTTCATATTGGCCATGAATTTTATATATTTTAATAGGGAACAGCCTGAAAAGTAATTGGTGGACATGAATCCCCACCGAAAAATGATGTCCACCAAAGGGCCCCTTCTTAAAATTCATAGCCATATTGGCATCATGTGTAAAGGGGACATGTTCAGGTAACTCTGCAATCTGGCTGCTGGAAATCCAGTTGTCCCAGTGGCTTCCCAGGTCCAGGATTTGGTCCATCCACCTGCCCAGTTGCCCAGTGGTGCTCTTGTTACCCTTTTTGGGGTTTTTGGTTTCCCCTTGAAAGTCAACCAACCCAAAAAAAGCAGATGCCAGTTCGTTGTTTTTTCCCCCACGGAAATAAATCCACTGGGCATCTGAGCTCATAGTCCTGCACCACTTTGAAACCATGGGAAACCATTGTTCGTTGGTACTTACAGGGGAATCCTCATTCCAGGGGGTTCTCAGTGATTCTTGGGTGGTGCACTGTCGTTTCCAGTGGTAATCACTCCATTGTAATCCGCGTGAATTTCCAGAAATCCTCATTCCAGTGATTTCTTAGATTCTCGGCGCCCAGGCCGAGGGGAAGCCAAAGAAGCTCAAGGTCCGGCCCACGCTGCTGCTCCCAGGCGCGCCTTCGCGGAGAGGTTTGGTGAAGCCGACGATCTAAGTCTGAGGAGGAAGACGGTCTTAAGCCACCGGTGCCCGGAGCACTTTATTAAACCTTAAAGAAAAAATAACGGGGGAGGGAGTGAACGTTTTTTTTTTTGGCGGGGGGGGAAACTTGGTTTTGAACAAGGGCTTGGCTCACAACCCTGGCTGTCAAGGAACATTGTGAGCGCTGAAAATTGAGTCCTTCCCATTTGCCGCAGGTGGTTCTACCGTGTTCCCATAGATTTGAGGAAGCACAACATCAGCCTTTCCGACCGAGTTTAATCTAAACGTCCATGGCTTTTGGCTGCTCATATGAACTCAGAGCGTGTTGCTGAGAATGCGTGACAAGCACCGTTTATCCACGGAATGATGTGGACTCCTGACTCCTCATGGTGTTTTGAATGTACACACCCGCACATGAAAGATCTTAGCCTGCTGGCAGGCAGAAACACCTCGGGCGCGGGGCCTTACTTGGTTGCATGCTGAGTGTCAACCGCTCGAGCCCCCCCAAGCATCCTGCAGTCTACACCGAGTGGGTGACAAATGCTTGAGTCCGACCCTCAACAAGGGTCTTTGATAGCTTGCCAGAAAGACTTCCAAAATTGCCCGAATATGCCGATTGAGTTGTTTCAGGAAACCTGCTTAAGGCCAGAAAAGGTCAGTGGGTCGTTTAGCTAAAGATATGGGTATGGGTCAAAATGAATCCACCAGAGGAGCGCAGGGTTTAGTCCTTGTTTCCATTTACTAGGGTACCATGTTGTGTACGTATGCTTCACCCACAGCCATATGATGCCTGAAGGATTGGCTCTTGCAGAGCGACCCATCCGGGGATGGGAGACCTCAGGACGTTTCACGTTGCTTGCGGTCCAAGGAGCGTTTCCCATAGCACCAGACTGGCCCAAGCCTCAGCCTTGTCCAGCATATGCGTCGCCTGTTTTGAGCACGGTGTTGCCATGTTGAAGTGTTGACACCCAAATCGGGTTTGCTTGATTTTCATCTCCCGATTCGAAACCTGGGTGGAATTGAAGGCTGGTAGATTCGTAGATGACAGTTTACACTTCAAGTGGGTGCAGCCTCTCACTTGCTTCAGTAGACGCCAAAAAACTAGCCAGGTTTTTGCCATGACTCTGCTCAAGGAAGCTTCTTTTTCGACCAGGTCACTTCCTGATCTTGGCCGCCCAGGGAGGATGAGGACCACTTTCTGAGCCCTGCGCTGCATGGGTCATTTCCACTAGTTTTTGAGCAAGCCACTGATTGGACCAATTTGAAGCTGAGTCGATGATTTCCTATGCAACTCGGAGCATGTCCCGCAGAGCGCAGACTTGAAGCTGGTGCTTCGCCGGCAATTCGGGTGGTCTGGAACTCGCCATCGCATGTGGATGTCCCCAAGGGATTTGCCGCACGTTGAAGGTCTGCGGCTCTGCATCAGCGAGCGCGTGATGGTTGAAAGGGAGCGAGACTTGCGACTTGACCCGAGGTAAACGCAGAGAGTGGGTTGTTGAAACAGGGGATTCCGGCTTTTTGTCGGACCCTTGTGTCGTCACATGTCATCACCTTTTACAGGGCAACACAGGGGCGTTGAGGTCCAACATGGGGACCCTTCCAGCCCTCTGCCTTGACTGCGTATTTGATGCAGGCAGCTTGGAAGAAAGCTCACCGGCCTTTCAAAATCCTCATAGGAGGCCGGAAGTTGGCAATGACAAGATGGGCCATGACTTTTTCAATGCCTTTGCATTGACGCTTGAGGCTCAGAGTAGTTGACCTCGGGGGCATGCCCGCGCGCGCCCCATGGAGGAAAGTACCCAAAACATGCTCTACGGTGCGCTACTCTCTTTCGATCGCCTCGACTGTTGAGACTCCGAATTCGGGGGGATGGCTTGCATGCAGTGCTCCATGATCAATCTGCGTAGATGTTGGGCGTGTCTTTTGTATAGACAAAACCGTTTGTTGCCACTTCAGTCTGCATAACTGAGGATTTGCCAGAGGGATCTAGCATTTGCCTTCTCGATTCTTGCTGAGATGGGACTAATTAAGCTGTATGGAAATGCCACTTGCGAAGACTTTGCGTCCAGAGGCATTGACACACTGAGGTTCAGTCAACATGTTCAGTCGTGTATGGGGTATTTCGGAGGGACATGGGGGCGCTGAATTTCTCGTGACCTTCGGGGTAGCTGTGGCTCACATGTCAAAGTAATGAATCGCAGAGTGTGTTCCGCTTTCAAAGAGACTTCAACGTATCCGTCTCTGTTGCAATGACAAGTAGCATGTGCTTGGTTAGATGAGACTACATGAGCGTTTTGCAGGCGACAACTTAATATTTGGAAAGTACCAAGTGTTCATCACCCTCTTCCCAGCGCTGAAGGGGGGTATGTTGGCGTCGGCCAAAAGATGACCAGCCAGTAAGCACCTCCGAGTTGACCACTCGAGACATGGCAGGTTGGAAGGGCTGTGCAAACAAGAGAGACGCCATCACATCAACTCTTGGGCGCAGAAAGCGTTTGAAGCAAGGTGAACTCATTGCAACTTTGCCAAAGAAAACACAACGAGTCATGAAGGATGACTCGGACGGCCAGGCGGGCTGTACATTGGGATCCTCCTGTCCTTCCTCGTTATCATGGTGGTGCTGCCGTCTTGTTTTGCCGGGGGGGGAGGGGGGGAGGGGGGAAGGGGGGGGAGGGGGAAGGGGGAGAGGGGGGAAGGGGGGGAGGGGAAGGAGGGGAGGGGGAGGAGGGGAGGGGGAGGAGGGGAGGGGGGGGGGAAGGGGGAAGTGGGGAAGGGGGGGGGAAGGGGGGGGCGGCAAGCCGTGCTGCTAAGCGCCCTGTTTGTTGGATGAGTTGATGTGCATGATGATCTCCTGTAGGAGGATGCTTGACCACGACGTGTGTGACCACGTTGGCAGAGTCATGGCAGAGTCGACATTTTGAAAGGTTTCATCGGGGGAGGTTGCAGATTGAAAAAAAAGCTGAGCTGGCCTGGCCTGCCACTGCCAGCACTTTCCAACCACAGAAGAAAGCCAAGTGCTGCTGGTATTGAGAAAAGTGTTCTCGAGCTAAGCAGAAGGATAACATGATGACTGAAGCGGCAGTCATGTTTAATGTCAACCTGCAACAGTGTTTGCATGACTTGGCCCACGTCGGGATGGTGCTTGATGAAAGCGCTGCTTGTTATCAATGCGGCCGAATGTTTTTGTTTGGTGACTGGGACGCAAGTGCACGGCTGAGAGACATGGGCCTCGCATGGGCAGTACTTACCCATCAGAGAGCTGCAAAAGGAGGCCAAGGCGAAGGCCTGGTGGGAGGGTTGGCCAGTACTCGGGTTAGCCAGGGCCAATGCCCACGCACTCAGAATGCTTTTTAAGAGAGTGAAACTGGATGAGCGAACAGGTCAGAGGATTTGGCAAAGCTGCCGGGGTGAACCAAAAACAGACGGCATCCACAGTCCACTTCCATCCACTTCCACAGGGTGAGGCGCGCTGTAACAGCAAGGTGGTGAGGCTACCGTCACGCTTGCAGTCCAAGCATCCTGCAGGCGAGCTAGCCGCCAAAGTGCAGCGGCAAGAAGCTTCCCTCCAAAGCGAGCAACTGGGCAGATACGAGTTGCTGAGAATATTCTGGGTTACCCACGGACACCACCAAACCTCTCACGTCATTTTGGGGTCCATGGCCCATATTCACTGAGTCAAGGTCAGGGGACTGACTTAGTATGAGGCATGCGCTTTGCGCTTTGCGAGGCCTGGCTGGGCCAAGTGAGCAGCGCCCAATTCATCCCCCACGCGGCGAGTGAGGTCGTGACTCACAGACCAGGCAGCACGCCTCGCTGGCGGCTGGCGCCGCCGGTGGCTTAGGGCCACAGAGTTCCACAAGCCGGCGGGAGTCGCGGAACAAAATGTGGGTATGAGTCAAAATTCAGCCACTAGGGAGCCGCAGGTTTTAGTCCATATCTCCATTTTCCAGGGTTCCATTTTGGGTACCAATTTCTGACCCACACCCATGTGTTTTGTCGATGCGCTCCAACATTCCAACTCGTGACGAAGCGTTCGCCGCAAAGGGCCGCGCAGTGAGGACTGGCTTGACTTTGGTGCTGCCCGTGTCAGCTCCAACAGATCGTGCAATGCAAAGAGACGTTGCGGCGATGCCAATGGCGTGAAAAGTGCCGCATGCGCAGTCGGGCACTGGTTTCTGTAACTAGGGTCCTTTGAGATGATTCTTGTTGCGGACCATTTCTTCCAGTTTCACGAACCGTAGGTGTGCAGTCATGCTTATCTCATGTGTCACTGAGCCGGGCAAACCTTGGCGTTGAACTTGATGTGCGCATTTTGTAGTTCAATGTAGTTTGCCGAATCACATGTCAGCCATGGCCCTCTTGGTATGGCAAGGCGTAATACTAAAAAATATACAGTTGGAGGAGCAGACATCCCTGGAATGATGACAGCTATGACAGCTAAAGGATGGAGAGACAAAGCAGTGGCAGAAAGACGGCAAGCGTGTGGAAGTTAAAGGAACCCACGCCGAAGCCAGCCGAAACAAGCGCCGGCCATAGACAGCCCAGCACAAGATCAGCCCCTCCACCAGATCCGCAGAACCGCATGCTGAATGCAGCGGCAACGGTAAGAGACCGACAGCTTGAAGCAACAGACCAGGCCTCACCGCGACAAACGCCAGCGGCCAGCAGACGCTCGCCATGGCCACGGAATTCCAGCGGGCGCGGCAAAGCCTCTCTTGCCTCGAGGAGCCGCGAGGGGGTTCGCTGGGTTGCAATCAAGCGACACCCGATTACGTGGGTGTAAGGCTCAGCCCAATTAGCGCAGAGAAGCTGCGACCTGGATCAATATGCGGGAACCCCTGGAATCCTCTTGTCCCCGCTTTGGTTTCCGTTTTAAACGTTAAAAGCAACCCCACAAAGAGTTGCCGCAAAGGGTTGGTGCCCGAAAGAATCGAGCTGCTTTTGGGTTGGACCTTGAGACTGTTTGGGAAAGATCTTTCTCACTTTTCAGAAGTTAAAATGTTTGCACGAGGGGGTTGAACCATGCAGGATATATTGCAAAGTGGAAACACAGGGGGGAATCCCTGTGGTTTGCTGTGATCGACCAGGGTTCCGGGGTGGACGTTGCGGTTCTTGGTTGCATGTTGGCCGAAGGGACAACAGCACCTAATGGGTCTTATTAGGCTTTGTTACAGGTGGGTCTCCGTTCTGTTGGTGCCTATCACGGCGACAGCTTAATCGCTGTGTGCTTGCATACAGGACTACCAGGGCCCAGGTCAGGTCTCAAGGCCCATGGAAAGTTGCTAACCCTAGCAGCCCTCAATTGGCTTTAGCCACATCCAAATGGCAAAAAGGTCGGACATCAACACCCACAGAAATAATTTCCACACAAGGGCCCCCAAAGAAGAACCCACATGTGCCATGGTCCAAAGACCTACTGACTTGGGGTAAGAGATGGGTTCTGGACCCTGTTGATTTGGACAACGGCTTCCCAGAAGAACCGCCATGGCCAGATTCGGAGTTTTGACCATGGACCATGGGCATGGCTGGGTTGCGAGGAGAGCTTGGCCGTGCTTACCGGCGATGAGGCCGAGGCAGAGGGTAAGGCAAGCTTGACTCGGGGTTGCTCAGTGGATCGTTTTCAGCCGTTTCAGTGAGGCACACATTGGAGCGCCTTTCGTTCACTCAAGCAAATGTTCTGTGCTGCGCAGTCTTTTTGGGGAGAGACCAAAGGGGAGTCAGCCCAACTGGATCATCTTCCTATAGGTGAAACATGAGTGGAAGACTGGGGCACCTGTGATTCCAACTTTGAATTCGGCAGGTCCAGCCCGTTTGCACCGGGAAGAATCACCGAATGCACTTTACGCCCCTCCCAACTTCCTTTTTTGAACCTCCAAGCAGTGGCCATGTCATCAGACCCTAGCATCTTGCAACTTCTCAGGGGAAATCCAGCGACCCCGCTTTTCCATACCTCGGCCGCTCGGAAACAAATAGGTGATTTTTTGTTGGTTTTCGGGGCCCTGGGTCCGGATTTTGAAGAGGTTGCCCCGTCCAGGAACTGGGAATGCAACGGGCCTGGCTTCAAGGGTGGGTATGCTTTCCGCCCATCTTCCCAAATGGGCCTCCATGGCTTCCTTTCAGGCAGGGCGACGTCTTTGAAACACGCTTCAAACGACGGTCCCTTATTTTTGAGCCAACCACCTTGTGCAGAGGTCCCCGAAAAAACAAGCCACACCTCCAGGGCACAAACTTCGATAGCACACAGGCCCGAGCAAGACTTTGGCACGATGTTCGAGAAACAATGGTTGACTTGCCCGATACAAAAAACGATGCTGTAACCGACTAATCACCAGGTGATTACGAACACCTTGCCAGCAAGATCCGGCCCACGAAATGCCATGTCGTAGGGATAAGGTCTTACTATATACGTTGGAGAAGACTGAACACAGACTATTGGAAGACTACGAAGCTTGTGGGCAGACCACCGCAGACAGGCGTTTTTTTTGGGGCATCCTATTTAAGCAAACACGCCGAGTTGTTGTTTCCCCAACAAACCCCAAAAAGGGTACCCTCAGAGAAAGAGAGCACACCCATATGGGTGTATGTTGTTCGAGGCAGTTGATCGCGAAGTCGAAAGGAATTCTACCATGTTTACGCGTCCAACTCCTACCTGGGTGACACGGGTCACACTCCAAAATACCTCGAGGAGGGGGGTGAAATCTCTCACCTTTCGCCAGGCAGAGCACCAAGACTGGGTCTTGCTCACGGGCTGCTGTGCGGCAGAGCGCTGCATCCTGGCCCGGGCCTGAGTGATTCGACGACGATCGGGAGTCCAATTGATCTTGGAACTATCCTTCCATTTGGTTAAGAAACATTTTATTCTCCCCTGTTGGTGTTAAAAGGAATCGATCACTACTGGACATATTTTCCTGTTTTCCAGGGGGCTTAAGCAAATGAAGTATCCCGTTTGAGGACAACCCTGGTTTCTGTTTTTGACGACTTGCGTCCCAGACGATGTTTATTCTTTGCTGTACCTTGCACACAGCAGGCAAAACGGCACCCTTTCTTAAGATTTGCTGAACAGAGCTGCCCAAGAGGTCTGCCGAAGCCGAAAAGACCGGGAAAGGCGATTCCTCAAAGATGACTCCCATGCTAAAGTTGAAGCCTGTCACCTACGGTGCTCCCCAGCCTCTGAAATCGAACACCCTTAAGGCCCAAAATCAACAACTGCAGCCGGTTGCCAGAAGTTTTTTCAAGTGCGGCTCTGTTTCTTTTGACGAGGAAGAGGAGCGAAAAGCCTTCTTGGACGCGGAGGAGCAGTCGCCTGGCCGGCGAATCTGTGGATCCACCCCGGTAGGATATGAAAGGAAAGTAAATTTGCTGGTGCGATATGGAATGTGGGAATGAAGCCGGGGGTCCCCTTAAAGGAAACCACCAGTGGGATGGTTTATAGGGGTCATTCCCTCATTCCCTGCCTATCGCACCAGCAAGTAAAGGAGTAGTAAAAGCAAGAACCTACGGGGGGAGGAGCAGGTGAAATCCACAGGAAGCGCATCCAAGCCGTTTTTTCTAGAAAGCTCTTTGTGTCCAATGTCTCGGATATCTTCCCCAAAGAATCCCAATGCGAGATTGTTGGTGCTGTTGTAGCGTCAATCCGCCATGTCAGCTTCGGGATCCGTCCAGGGCTTGGCCAACCATGTTCAACTTGCGGCTGTTGACTCGACTACGACATGTGTGCAACCATGGACATGCCGCGCTGAAGAAATCTGCGATCTGCGATTCGAGCTTTTTCCTTCAGCCCAAAGATTTCGCCTTAGATGAAACTTGAGGGACGCTTGGACCGCGGTCCTTTCAAATATCATTCTGAGGGCCTTTGGCAAGGGTGTCAACGGGACACGCCAGGCCAGAAAAGGCCTCTTTTTTTTGGGGGGGACCTGCGGCGATCTTGACGGGGGTCTATAATGGGGAGCAGGATGCAAGCGGTTCATGCATCGCCACTTGAACCAAACATACTTTGCATGGAACGCACGGGCAAGCAAATAAACAAAACAATTAAACAGAAGGGACGAAGAAACCAGCAAAAAAGCAAATAACGCACCCCCCCAAACCCCCCATTTTTAGAAAATAAGGTGCGCATGTTCTTCCCCGTGGCGGAGGCTTTTTGGATCCACGTACACATCAAATTAGCTGCTGATGTTTTTGGTATTTGCCTACAAGAACAATCCCCTCAAGATTGTGCCGGCCAGACCACCGCAATCCATGTAGGGTTATCCTGGTGCAGTTTTTCTTTCTCGAGACAGCCCTCTCTCCGCATCTGAATTCAAAGTGTGCCTTCCCTGGCTGCCTTTCAACCAACCAACCGTTTCGCTGATGAAAACTCATCAACAAATCAAGTAGACGGCTCTGCCCCGGTTGGAACCCATTTTCCAGTTGTCTCCCCTGCCACAGCCCCCACGCGCCAACTTGAACGGGCCATTTATGAGGCTGGCGCTGCTGGACCAGCTTACCGTCAAGATGCGGCGGAAGTGCGCGGCGCACACGGAGCTCGAGCAGCGGGGGCCCTTGAGCCCGGGCAATCGGTTGCCCATGGGGTTTGCTTGTTGGGCGAAATTGGGGTTGAATTATGAAAGAGCTTTGTTGTGAGAAACTGCGTTTTTTGTTGCAAATTGGGTTCTGCGACACCAAGGGCCCCTCTATGCCCCTCTTAAGTGATAGACGAGTCATGATGGGCCAGGCTGGTGTCGCAGAAAAGGTTTCCAGAACGGTGCCCCCGCCCCCGTAGCCCCTGCAGCTTCTTGCGGCCCCCAAGGCATGGCTCTGAAGCCTAAAGGGGCACGCACAGTGCCAGTTGTTTGAGGGACCCAGTTCCGAGCCGCGCCCATTTCCTGGAGGCGCCACGCCAGATTGGTGGATTCCCGCGGGCGAAAAGCGAGCTTTTGTGCATGAGCATGGGGTGTCACAATTTTCAGCAAGCTTGCTTGTGTGTGTGTGTGTGTGTGCGTGCTCAGGTTGCAGGCACAGATGCACGCACAGAAGCTCGACCGCGAGGCGCGAATGGGGCCGGCGCAGCCATGCCGGGAAAGGGGGGGAAGCCGTGCGTTGAGCGAGTTCATACGAGTTTCCGAGCAAATGCTTCGCACTCTCAATCAGGAATCCATTCTTGGGCATTCTTTGCTTGAAGTTGGTGTGAATCCTGGTGATTCATCCCTGTCATGTCATGTAGATGTATGTGGGCTACAGAAAGTAAAGGGAATGAAAGATTGCCTGTCACTTCGACACATGAGGGATACATCCCGACATGTGCAACCTGCTGCATCCTGATTCCAACCACGCTTTGTCTTAAGTGGATGCAGAAGTTGCGCGCAATTTGCGTGTGCGCGTCCGTCCGTAAGTGCGTGAGTGCGTGCGTTCTTGCGTGCGTGCGTGCGTGCGTGCGTGCGTGCGTGCGTGCGTGGGTGGGTGGGTGGGTGGGTGGGTGGGTGGGTGGGTGGGTGGGTGGGTGTGGGTGTGTGTGGGTGTGTGTGGGTGTATGTGGGTGTGTGTGTGTGGGCGTGCGCGCATATACGCGTTTTCAGGCTTTCTGATAAAGTTTGAACTGAGTAGCGAAGACCAATCAAGCCAGTCCACCAGCGACATAAATCGAGTGTTTGGGGCAAATCTACACAATCGAACACCACACCCCTAGAGGGAACCCCAAAAAAAGCGAGTGCCCCCAAGTAGGCGTCTTCCGTTTTCGGGGGATTTCCACCCAGGTTGCCCAGAGGGTCGCGGAGCTGCAGAGCGGCTTGGCTGTCGTAGACGAATATGGGGGGGGCCTATGAGAGCGCCCCTGGAGTTGTAGGCAGACAGATGTGGGTGAGTGCTTGTTTCGATTCCAGTGATCCAGCATGCGCGTAAAATGACAGCTCCCCCGGCTCCCCCCCAGAAAAGAAGCGGTGCCCGCCCCAACAGATATGTCCTCAAGCAAGTGCTTTTCCGACACGTCTCCAACGTTTCTGTTGTTCTTGGCCGGCCTGGCGAGCTCGCGAGGTATTGCCATCTACGGCCACAGCTTCGTGGAGAAAGTCCGGGAGCTGCTGTCTCGCTTTGATGCATCTCGGAGTGACGGTATTTTCACGCTCCGCGCACCGGCCTCGCGTGCCAGGGAAAGTCCTTGAGGAAAAACCGAGCCATGCGCGATGGATGGTGGATTGCTGGATGGATGGTGGATGGATGGTGGGTGGATGGAGGTGGATGGAGGTGGATGGAGGTGGATGGAGGTGGATGGAGGTGGATGGGTGGGTGGATGGGTGGGTGGATGGATTCCATGGATTCCATGGATTCCATGGATTCCATGGATTCCATGGATTCCATGGATGGACGGATGGCTGGATGGCTGGATGCATTGGTTGGGATGGACCAGGGAGGAGTCGAGTCGAAGCCTCAATGTCTTTCAGGCCCGGCCAGCCAGCCTTCCCCTCTGGCGCATAGTGATTGTAAACCGTGCCGGTCACCTCCTCGGTGTGAGTAGGCTTGGAGATTCGCAGGGCTCAGAACGGGTATGGGATTCGCTGAATTGGATTCGCGAGGGCTGAGTTCAAGAGGCACAATGACTTTCAAAGGCACTGGTCGTGTTGCTTGGACACGGCGCAATGCCACTTGAAGGGTTGATGACCATTCAGCACGTCTCCCTTCCATGCCTATGGCAGCGCGGCCTCGCCTTGTCTAGCTTTCTTCCGCACCACGCCAAGAGGCCCTGAAACCCTTCCAGAACTCGCCAGGAACCGCTCCGGACCCTATCCAACAACTGCTCCACGGAATCGGGACTGTTGCTCAGGGACTTGTCCCCCCAAGGAGAGAGAAGCAATCCCGATAGAGACGTACAGCCGAGGCGGCCAAAGAGCGCTTCCGGTCGCAAGTGGTCCCGCGCCTTGCCGGAGCCTCAACATGGCTCGAGAGGGTGGGTGCGGCCACGTCCCTGTTGAGACACCCGGACGAGGCGGTTCTTTTCAGTTGGGTTGCTAAGAAGCTGCTAAGAGTCCTTTTTGCAGTTGGTCTTTGAAACCCTGCTTTTGCTAGTTGGAAAAAAAGGGACCTTCTCAATACAGAGCAGGTCTTTGACTTAGCCATGCCTGATCCTGGCGGTTCCCAAATGTCCCCTTAGGATTTTAGGTGTTTAGGGCTCAGCAAGGGTTCCCATTTATACGACTCACTCAAGGTTTTCGCCTTTTATCAGAAATACCAACAGTTTGCCAGGCGCGCCTGTTGGCATTCGTCTTGAACACGTTGCCCTCGAGTGGGATTCAAAATAGCTTTATCAAACTTAAAGTCAGTCAAAGCTTGGCTTGGCGGCAGTCTGGCATGACGGGCGCTTGGAGCTCAGTCGACGCCGGCTGAGTTTCTTGTCCAGTGTAGACATCTGGGAATTTGCTTGAGCTCGGCATAATGCTTGCTCGTCACAATCCGAATTCTTCAAAAAGAAACACTGGCTGCATGATTCTAGGTTGTTGCACTGAAAAGACCTCCTGTAGCTATCAGACATTCGTTGTGTTTTGTTGTGGCAGGGTTTACTTGCGACCAGTAGCGATTCCACATCTACAAAACAGAACATAGGTCTTTGTAACCCTAAATACTGCAACTCATGCGACCGAGAAAAACAAACAACAGATTCGTCGCTTTTTCATGCGGCAAACGCATCCCCAGAAACGGAGGGTACCTTTTTGTGTTTTGAAGAGACGCGCCAAGTTGGAACGTCTTTCTCCGGGGGGCAGGTCCCCCACTGTGAAGACCCGCCCGAGGCCGCGGTGGTCGCCTCGTGCGAGGCGGACGAGGTGCTGTGCAGCGAGCGGCGGAAGCGGCAGGAGTGAACGGCCATGGGCAGTTGGTGTCGTTTTAGGGGAGCCCCTTGGTCGAGAAACTCAGAGGACGCCCAGCAAGCTGACACGATTCAAAGATTTAGAGGGATACTGCAAAGGCTTTGGTCAGCTGAGTTGGGCTGGTTCATTCGTCCGTCTTAGCATGCCAATATGATTTCCGCATTTGGCCCACGTGTACTTAGGTCTGGGGAATGGGACATGGCCATGTTGGAAAAGATGCGAAGGTCTCCCCATGTTCCAGGGAGTATCCAACGCTAGCCGCCAGCGGTAGTGGTAGTGGTAGTGGTAGTATTAGTAGCACATGACTGAAGGACAGCATGAACCGCTGCCAGCCTTTGCCTTTGCATTTGGCTCAGAACAGCTTTGTGACGCAGTGAGCCGCGTCCCGGTGGCATTCCGGGATGAAGTTGGCAGGACACCTCCAGGAACATAGATGATTTTCGAGCAATTTCAAGCGTATCGACTTCCTCAACCAGTCCATCAACTTGTGAAGTTTGTGGCTGGTCAGCCCCTATTTGTGAAGTTTGATATGGCTGGTCAGCCCGCAGGCCAAGGAGGCGCGGTGAGCTGTGCAGAGTGACAGTCCTGGCGTTTGTCGAGACACGGTGCCCGAAGTATTGCAAGCCAACCGCACCAAAAAAAAAAGGTTTACAATATAGTGCGGGGGTTCCTCCTTCCCCTCCTTGCAAGGGTTTGTTCACATCGTTTTGACAGTTGGCCACTGTTCTAAACCAAATGGACTCGTCAGCATTCATAAAACCATGCCATCGATGCATTCTGCTGGCCCAGATGGAATACTCAAGCCACCGTAACTTGTTTTGCAGGGAGCCTCTTCAAGGATATAAAGTGTGGAGATCCCCTTAATTGGAGTGGCTGGCCCTTGATTTTCATTGTCAATGTGCCCATTTCTTTCTGACACACTTTCCAATGCCAGTGTTGGAGCAAACGTGGTTTTGCCCCTTGCCCATTTGCCACTACCTGGAGGCAGTTCGTTGCTCGGGCAAGGCAGGGTCAATGGGCCCATTTCAGGTGCGCGTCCAATTCAAGTCGTGGCCAGCGGAAGGGGAGGCGAGGTCTAGGTGACCTTGCAATCCATTCGCAGCTGGCCTCCAGTTGATGTCCTCTTTTTGCGGACAGGAGTTGCCATCAGCATGAGGAAAGCACTAGGAACTCACTTGCACTTCGGTCAGGACATCTGCTGGTTTCGTGAAACCTTGTAAATACGTGCATTTAGGAAATCAGGGGCACGGAGTGGCAAAGCATGAGAGTTGACGGCTGCAGGCAAGAGCCGAGAGATGGACGCCCGCAGCCACAGTAGCAACAGCGCCCTGGAGATGAAGTGCTTTAAGGGGCCACCACCTGTGGTTGTGTTTTTATTTATTTTTTCACACTGCTTTCTCAGTGGTCAAGGCAGAAGAGCTTCAATTCAGATGATTTGAGCTTGTTTGGTCAGCTGCTTGCCTTTAAGAATGGCTTCCTGCTGTTGTTCCAAGTTGTTCCGCCAATCAATTCAATGAAGCCTCAAGCTGAAGAGAAAGCTGGTGGGGGAGCCGCGCAATCCTTGAATCCTCGAAGGGTCTGATCAGTCGTGGTTCAATGGCTCACCGCAGCCTTCAGACGCGGCCCTGGCGATTCGGCGTGCAATATCATTCCTGTTGCAACACCAAACCTGTTGAGCGCAGCATGTCCTGCTTTCTGGCAGGGGAGGCAGAAAATCCCGCCATCAGCACATGCGGCTAACACACACACACACACTGCCACACTGGGTTGAATGCACTGAGCGTTTAGCACAAAAGTTGCGCATCAAGCTTTCTGAGAAGATCCGGCCAGAGCCCTTCCTCGCAAGCGCGAGTTGCAGCTGAGGCAGCAATTGGGGGGTCCCCCAGATCTCCTCGTCGTCAGGAAGCTCTGATGGGAGGCTGCAGTGTGAGGGATGCTGGAAACACAGAGAAGAGGGGTAATGCCGGCCCTGCGTGGGCATACCCGTTCTCTTTGAAAGTTGCAGTCTTCCCAGGGCCGCTCCAGTTCCATCAACGAAGAACAAGATGGGCTTTGTTGTTGCTTTATGCTCACGTTGGATTGGAGGCATGACTTGCGAATAGCTGGGCAGGGGTTGCAAGGTAGCCCTACAGGAAGTTCCGGTGTGTGCGGCTTCATGCTGGTGCTTCCTCGAGCTCACATCTTTTGACTTTGGGCGGGCTCACAGTTGAATCAGTGCCAAGATGGTTGAGACCCCAGGTTCACTTGATGCTAGAACTCAATAATTTTACCGTAAGCCTGCCAAGCAATTTGACCCAACTTTGTCAACACATAGTTCCTGTTTCGCAATCCGCTAAAAGGCGACACAGAAGAAAGCCAGTCTCGAAACGAGCTTATGATGTTCTTAGCCTCTCAGACATGTACCTTGTTTGCGAATCAAAGGCGCAGTCTCCAGGGATATTTTTGTGCAGACATGGCCTCAAGAGCCAGGGAAGGATGAATTCTGTCAATGGGGAACCAGCGCTGAGAGCTCGTCAGGCGAGACGCCGCTGGAAATGAGGGCTCGGGCTCGGGCTCGGAAGAATTTGATAAGTCCGACTCCGGAAGCTGCGCCGGGACCTGAGCTCATGAGATGTGTTCATCCGAGAAGCAAGCTGTTCATTCGGGGTCTGTGTTTACGAGATCAATACTGGGCCGCATGCTCTTCATTTGCTCATGCCGCAGGGAGTCAGTGGCACCGCAGCGCATTCGCGCCAGTGTGGGGTTCATGGGCTTGTGTATCGACTGGGCCGATTTGCCCAAGGGTAAAACCTGCGCACTGCGCTGGTGAGACATTAGCCGTCGTGACAGTTGGTAGAGCACTCTGGAACAACTGTGCCACCTCAAAAGTCATGGTTTTGGCACTGGTATTCACCCTCCGCCGTCTCAGGCTGAGCCCTCTTCGCAACAGAAGTCTGCATCTGCAGAAGGCCAGCCGGAGCGCAACCTGGATGGCACGAAGGGGGCAGGTGGTTTTGTGGCGTCACATTCGGTTGCCAGCGTTTTGTCACAAATGGTCCGAACCAACACCCCCTTGGCTCGGGTAGAGTGCCGTCCCGCTTTTTTTTCGGTATTTTTTGTGTGGCAGACCTCGCATGTGGGCAGAAGGCTCGTGCGTTGTTCAGATTGAGGGGGATGGACATCAGCGATCATGCGCGCTTTCATTTGGTTTCAGACGGGCGCCGTCAGGGTTTTCGCTGACCATGACCAGGACCCTCACACGGAGTTTTGACGATGGCGTGAATTTGAAGATGACTTCCAATCTTGTCTGGTGGCTTGTCGCGGCGCTTCCCGTAACACTCTGTGACATTTGGTTGAGTTGTTTTGGGCTTCCATCAAGGCTGTGCTTTCAGCAAACGGTTATTTGTGGTTCGCGGTGTTGCTTCACGACGGCAGACTTAGTTCTAGAGGAGAATCTCCACGCGCAGCTACAAGGCATTGTGAGGGAATTGCGCATGGGAAAGTGGACCCAGGACCCCGAACCTTGTCAGATTGTATGAAGGATGATAAGCGCATGCGGGGGCCGCCGTCCCGAGCATTTGTTGCTGCTACCGCTGAAGAAAGTGCGGAGCCGTGAGATGCGCAGCCGGAGGCCTAGAGGATGGATTGCAGACTGAGCAAGTCAGAGAGCCATCTGGCAGCAAGCGGGGGAGGGGGGGTGCGCCAAAGTCTTTGGCCAAAGCTTCTTCAAAACCCAAGCAAGTGAAGGTGCACAGCGAACCAGAAATAGGTGCGGCCGCCAGCGGTCCTTGTATTTGTGTTTCTGCTTTACATGCTTTGGGCAGTTCAGGTGTTGATTACGACTCTGGTCTAAGGGTGCTATCCTTGCTGACGTGTTTGCTGACCATCATGGCTGGTTGAAGCTGCCGCAGGTGGCCTTGTGCCTGCCTTCAACATTTTCACGTTCAGGGAACGCTTTTCTTTGAAAAAGCCCTTTTGAGGCCTTAGTGGAATAAGCGAAACTGCAGGAGTTTTTGCCCAGTAGCCGCGCACCCATGGTAGCTCGCACCTGTCGGCAAAGCCATCACGACTAAGGCAGCAGCGCAGATTTGCCAAGGATATAGCCTTGGAGCAAGACCTGACACTCGGCTTGCCTTTAAGATACTGCAAGCTGCGAATGGCGCTGGTTGGGTGAGGCTAGGGCAGGCATCGGGCATGCAAGCGACGTCGGGCTGCTGCATCAACCGCGAGTTGCCCGGGCCTGTTGTTGCTATTGCCGAGCGCCCGGATGTTCCCGTTTAAACCTTGCAGCGTGCCATGTTTTTGACAAGGCAAGGACAACGACACGCATAGAACAAATGCTTCCCAAAAGGAACCCACGCTGAACAGAATCCCGCACATCATGTACGGTAAGCCCGTTGTAGGACCCCTCACCAAAGAGGGCACCTTACAAGAATGCATTTCCGTGGGCTGGGCTGGTTGCAGCCATTGGTCATCACGAGTGTGAAGTCCTCAGCAATTTGTCGTTTGAATTTGTGGCGGGGCAGTTGATTGCTTGTTTGAGTTCTCAAACCATCCCAATACGGAAAAATATGTTTGATCGCAACAAATCACTGAGTGAAGGCTAGCTGATATTCAAAACAACCTAGTCTCAGCCAAGACTCAACAGGCATTTCTGGCGGGCTGCCTAACAGTCGATGAAAGAACTCTGTTCTCAGCCCAAATTCTGAGTGAATCTCAGCTTTTGCGCTTTGTCTCATGATGCGTAAGCTCAACAAGTGCCGTCAGTCGCCCGAACCAGCACAAGTTGCGCAATGAGCTCTGGCTGCTTTGGTGGTTTTTGTTTTTTTTGCGAGGTCCAACTCTTCGCCTCAAGGCCCCTGACCTTTTCTCCCCCGGCCATCGACGGCTCATCGGTCCAGGAGTGGCCACGCGCCCGTCAGCGGGCAGTTCCTGATGGTCCAGGCGGGCCTTGGGGTTCAGAAGCCCTGGGGGAAATCGCCCTTCACAGGGCTTGCGGTGATTTGGCCGTGGCGCTAAAACCAATGGGATCCCATTTTGGGGTAGGTGCACCACCCACTTTAGAACCTATTTTAGTAGTGATTGGGATGTTCACTGCGGGTACGGGATTTTGGCCCATGGCCATTTGTATGTGATCTGTTTACGTTGGAGCTTTCGGTATGGACAACGCGCCTCTTACTCGGTCCTGTGGGACCCTTTTGACTGGGGCCGAGACATGTGCATCTCACTAGCAGCGGCCCAAGGGAAGCATTTCGATGGAATGACTCACCTAGCGGCCGCCCATTTTCACCCAGCTGCATCTCTTGGGCAAAGCTACCCAACTTGGCTGCCCACACTGGCAAAGGCGGGTTCTTTATATTTTCAACTTCTTTCTGGCGAGTTGCACAGCTCGGTCCTTTTCCTCAGTTGTTCCGTGGCACCTTTTTCCCTTTTTCCCCAACAGCTGAAAGCTTTGGGGTCTCAGCCCAGATAGGCTCCGGGGTAGTCCGGGGCGGCCCTCAGGCAAGGTTCCACGAGAGTTCCGCGAGGTTCCACGAGGGTTCCACCAGGTTCTGCGAGGGAGGGTGGGGTGCCGTTGGGGATATCGCCTGAGCTTATTTTGTTGGCGGCTGCCCCACTAAAAATGGTCTTTCCCAAAAAGGGTTCCCTTTTTTTCCAGGGTCACTGAACAACTGAGTTTCACTATAATGCCACAACCACGCCTCATTCACCTTGGCTCAGCCGCGATTCCAGGCACAGCAGTTAAAGCTCCAGCAGACCCAGCAGCAGCTGTTCTCTCAGCTGCAGCAACAGCCCCTCGGCCAGTGAGATGGTTCTCGGAAGCTCCCCTTCGAAAAGCGGAGATGGCCCAATTCAGCTTGAGACAAACACAATCAAAGCATGGCTTTTGGTGGACGGGATGATCTGGGAGGGTTGCCACTGGAAATTGTGGACTGTGTTGGACAACGATCAAAAGCGTCCCTCAGAACAGTGACCACCAACATGTGGCAGTTAGCATTCCAGGAGAACATGTCGCTTCATGGATTCACGCGAAACATGATTTCTTAGCCAACTTCACATCAGGGTCTTCAGAGCATCTTGTTCTGGCTGCCACGGAGATGTGCATTGCCATCGTGTGTACATGATTGGCCAAATTCGGGTTGTGTGGGGAAGCCCACGGCCCGACCTCAGGAATGGCACAAACATGTCAGGATCGGGTAGAGCTCTATGCTTCTCCTGAAGGTCCGCCCAAACCAGTTTGTAGATGTTTCAGGGTGCACCAGCGTTTGGTCTTTGCACCATAAGGGCCCAAGTGTGTCGACGGCTGCTTTGTCGGCCAGGTGTTTGGTTGTTGTGGCTATGATTTAATTTGTGGCATTGTGTGGGTTTTTGGCCTCTACGCCTGCCAAAAGAGAAGCACACTCGTAAAGCGCGCCCGCTCAACAATGCATCCACGCCTGCCCAATGATAAGCGCTCCCGCTCAAGAACACCTGCCTTAGCACTGCACCCATGCTTGCCAAATGACAAGCGCACCAACGCGGCACCGACTCCATGCCTGCCAAATGAGAAGTGCCCCCCTTCCCCCTTCGCCACATCCTTGTTGTCCTTGGAACCGGTTTCCTTGTCCAACTGGTTGACGGTACTGATTTTGTTTTCCTCCTTTGCGGTTGCGACTGCGATTGTAGTTCCCGTACCCTCCGTAGCCTTTGCCCTTCTTGTGCTTGCTTTCCTTTTACGCTGCCCGAATCGCAACACTGCTCAACAAGACCGAAGGGGCACTACAACAACACTTAAAGCTCCGAGCAAGAAGCATCGCAAGAGCAGATTAGATCTCGCGTGATTGAATACCACAGAGCATCATGGTTCGCCAAGCTACAAGCACTTACGCGACCAAGTTGCAGCAACAAAACTCAAGGAGCAGCACCAATGATCATAGGAGCCACATGGCGCAACAAAGGCGAGGGCAAGAAAGGAAAACACAAAAGCTAATAGTACGTATTTGAGTTCTTCTTGTTTGTACTTGGCGAGTTGAAAATCTCTTCTCGAACTTGCGTTCATGCCCAATGCAGCAGGCAGATTGTTGCTGGTGCTCACCAAGATGTAGTAGTGTAACTTGCTCAGGTGTGATTGTTCTGACTGTCTCAACGGTCTGTTGTATGCTTGATCTTGTAGTCCGAGGTACCGTGGTTTTGCGCATCGCTTTTTCGATTGTGGTGCACCTTCCTGTGAGCTTTTGTGGCGCTATATGGCCGTGGGTCAACACCAATGGTACCATTTTGGTGTAGGTGCACCACCCATTTTAGTCTATTTTAGTGGGGATTGGGATGTTCACTGGGGGTACGGGGTTTTGACCCATAGCCATATTCACCTACAAGTTAAACTTTTCGCAGAGGATCTGAGGGCAGCCCGGTTCAGATGTTTGGCGTCGTGCCTCCAGTTCCACTCCGAGCCCAGGCAGCAGCTGCAGCACCAGCACGAGCAGCTGCAGCAGCTGCTGCAACAGCAGCAGGCCCAGCAATTGCAGCAACAACAGGCAGGCGTGGGAGCAATTTGTTCCAAGCGCCAAGTCTTGGGCCCCGTTGAAGGGTTAAACAAAAGTTGATAAAAAGGGCTGATCCCTGGCAGGTGCAGCTTCAGCAGCAGCAGCAGGCGCAGCTGCAGCAGCAGCGCCAGCTGTTGCAGCAGCAGCACTTGCAGCAGGAGTGGTATCGACACACTCAGGCCTGCTTTCTTTTTGCCGTGCTGATGCTGTACTTGGTACTAGTGGGGTGGAATTGCCAAAAATGGTTGAGGGTTTCCCTGGGTTCCCCATTGGCATCATGGAGTTTTCAATTTTTCAGGGCGAGCCGGGCGAGCCCACAAGGGTCAGTGACATTTTGCGGCTGCTCAACAGGCAGTCTTGTTGGACCTATAGCACGGGCCCGGGTGCAACCTCGCCGAGACCCCTCATTGCTAGAGTCGATGGAGTTTCCACACTTCTATTCATGAACCGTGCTCTTGAATCACTTGCGCTGGCCCGCCAGTCGTCCACGCCGTACTCGCCGGCGCCTCAGATTCTTGCCTGCAAGATTGCGCTTTGTTGTAGATGGGAGAAGCAAACTATTGTGCCAAGGCCAAGACCTGTTCGCTTGTCAGTCGTTTAAGGGGTCAAGCGCAGCGTCGTTTGGACTGTCATTTTGACACCGCCGCGGTAGATGCACCCTCACTCACAGACGAATGCTGAATTTGCGAGCTCCGAGGGAAAACATCAATATGTGTTTGCGCGCTAGGGTGACGGTTCCAGAAAGACCAGGCAGTGGGTTTCAAATCCCAGCCACCTTTCTCCTCACGTTTCTTGCATCGTTGGCCTTAATTGACTTCGTCTTTGTAAATGCTGCGCGCTGGACGCCTCGGCCGGCCAGGCTCAAAACCAGAATCGCAACGCGGACTTGAGCAAATGCTGGGCTGAGCAGTCTGGCGAGATGCGGGATCCGCACGAGGATGCGGGAGTTGGCATCCTTAGCCGGGCAAACTCACCCAGTGTAGCTGCGCTGCAACTGGGTAAAAAAAGGGTTCTACAGCGAAGAGGTGGCTACACGTCATTTCCTTCTGTACTTTCAGCGGTAGAGAACATAGGTTTATGAAAGCCAACAAAGAACGGCTCCTCTCTCTGGTTTTACAGGATGCCGCGCTCAAGCTGCCAAGTTGAAATTCCCTTTCCTGACCTGGGACAGCACTTTGGAGTTACAGACGCCACTTTCAGTCTTCCAAGAACTGGGACAAAGTGACGGGCCTTCACGTGACGTTGCGCCTAGATGTCAGCAAAAGCACAATCAAAAGTCTACGGCCACCTGGCATTTCCAATAGAACATACTGGAACTCAGCAATCGTGCCAAAAGTGACCTTGCAGCGACAGAATTTCATGAAGCCGGGGCCAACGAGCTGAACGAAGCATGGATTTGTTGCAAAACTATGCGAGAAATACCTTTGGCAAAGCTGCGCCAACTGTGACAAGCAAGGAGCAGGTGGCAGGCATAGACCACCAAAGTGTGAACAAAAACCGGACGCAGTGCCAGTTGCGTAGCAAGCACCACCCGCAGAGCACGCGCAGTCACAAACTTGACCCTGCGCGCAAGCAGTTGTGACGACCTCGCGAACGACTGCTTAAAGATAACGGACTTGCGTCCAACCCGAAGAGCTCTAACGCGCAAGCTAGAATTGACGTCGCAACCCTCTGGGTAAAAATGGCGCAACGCCTCAAAACGCTCGGTTTGCCAGCCACACATTTCTCAACTACAGACTTATGTGAATATGCTGCAAGAGCGTACTTGCAAACTCGACAAGATCAAGCAAAGTGGTGAAATATAGTCTGGACGGTAAAGCTGAGGCAAAGCATGAGGCAGGGGGGGCGTCATGCCTATGTGTGGCTTAGCGATGACTGGAGCCCTCCCCTAACTTTCACACGAACGCAGGGCTCTTCATCGTGTTGAACCGCGAGAAACGGTTGCAGAAAGTCATGAAGCATGGGACGCTCTTCAACCAAACTGAGCTGCCAGACTTGCAACAATTCACCAAGCATGAACATGTTGCAGAAGGCCCATGTCAGCTTGTTGACACCGAAGTTGCCGATCTCCACTGTCGCATCAAGAAAACGAACAAGCGTAGAGCTTTTGCTATTGACGGATGGAGTTGGAGACGTCAAGACTTACTTGGAAAACGGAGCCTGACTTCGTGCCTACCAAACTGTGAAGTCGATGTGCTGAGGGGAGCCAACAATCCAGACATCGCAGCAGCCTCGCCATATAACACAAGGCCAATCTCCAACATGTCGCCTTGGAGCACACTCTACACCGGGACGCGCTGCGCTCACACAGCCACATAGCGCGAACCGCGCCTCCCTGACAGCGCCCGCGGCGCTAAACCGCATTGCGTGTGTCAGACGAACTATCGCTGGAGTGTGAGCGAGCCAGAGTCGCCCGACAACACATAGGATGTGTACATTGGCGCCGAAGCTCACGGGCGCCGCTTCTATCAACAATTGGCACGCGCGTTCAAAGTTTGCAGGAGCTGTCTGAGAGCTCGAAGAAAAGCTTCCTACAAAGATGCTCCTTTTCTCTCACTGTAGCACAGGCACTTCTGGCCACCCGGACAAAGCGGGTCGAAAACATGCCACGACGTGTGCCGGTCCGAACTGGCGGATGTTTCAATTTACGAAGTAGCAAACGCACGTGTGAACGATTGGTCCATGGCTTGACGGAAACAATCCATTTGCTAGCGCTGACAAACTCAGAGCAGCATTAGCGGAACAAGCGCCTCGCGGTGCCACAGGACTGCAGTTTCTTGAATCTTTCACACTCGTCGGAGGCCAAGTCGCAGTTTGTGGGCAGACAGGCGTTGCTTACCAAAACAAGAAAGTAATTTCGTGCTCCAATAGGCTAAGAAAAGTTGTGCGAAACGACGCACAAGCAGCCTGCCTACCCATCGGCGCAGAACTGCGGCAACAATGGACTGCGAGCAGCCATGTACAAAGGCCACACCTGGTGCCGAAGCCCGGGGCTTACCACGAGTCTGCTAAGGCTTCTTGAACGAAGCCCAGACTTGCATGTTTGAGGAAAGCTAGACGAAGAAGAAAGAAACATCTTGGCCTTTTCTGGAAAGGCGTCCAGCCCAGTGGGTGGAGCTGGCAGGAGTCCTGATCCTTTTTAACGCAAAACGGTGCAGGTCACAGATGGCTTAGGGGCATGGAAGCATGCTACGTAAATTTCAGCGCGCAGGTGACTATAGACAAGCGTACAAATCCATCTCCGCGCGCTACTTGGCCCGTCTCACAAGAACGTGGTTGAGACAGCAACACGGACAAGGAAGAAATGGACAGTCCTGCAAGCGCGTGGCGACGCAGAACGTCCCGAAAGAACTGGACTTCGCAGAATAGAGCTGCAGAAGAACTAGGGATGAAGATGCTGGCGCCAGCTTGGCACGCGCCAAGTGTGGCAAGCCCGCAGCACTTGCAAACCCAGCAAAGAACGCTGCGGTGGAGGTTGGTGTTGGCAGAAGATGGCGGCACAACCAACCGGCCAGTGACAGTGGCAGGCCAGCGCCCTGCCACTAAGCGTATAAAGCCCCAAGCGCCCTCTGCTGCCTGTGATTCACTGATGCAAGTAAACGGGCGCAGTTTTGTGAAGGCCCGCCTCCCCCCCCTGCTGAAATGAAACCCGCCCTTGATATTGATGTGGTGCCACTGCTTGTTGCGGACACTTGCATGCGATGCCATGCCTGGCAGACACCTGGGCTTCGGCCCGCCAAATGTGTACAGCGAAAATTAACAAGAAGAAGTTTGGAAAGATTCCCATGATCAATAGGGATCTGACCACTTCCGAGCCCTGAGGGCCGAGGCGAATTATTTGGCTTGTGTGGTTGGAAGGGTCAGCGTCTCCAGAATTGAAACTCCTCCAGAAAACTAGGCAAAAATCGGCATGTCAGGGTTCGGCGTTGTCCGTCATTGCCTCGAGGCCCTGGGCTCCGCCAACCTGCGGCGAACACCTTGAACAGGCGCACGGGAGCCTGCTCAGTTCTCACAACTTTGGGATGGCTGGCGACAACTTATTGGGGTAAAGGTCTTTCCAAATATCCTTTTGCTCGTAGCTGTAGTTCTTCACAGCAGAGCTAGTCCAAGTGGTCTACAAGGGGTGCTGTTTCCAAATGGGTGGAACCTGCAGAATGGGACCTCCAAAAAGAGACGCAGAGACACAGAGACAGGCACAGACACACACACACACAGACACGCTCACACAGAGACACACGCAGACACAGATACAGGCAGATGCACAGACATGCAGACCTCAAGACACGCAGACACACTAACATGCGGAAACACAAACACACACACACACACACCTGCACGCACACACACACACACATACACACACACACACGCTTTGATTTTGCCCCTTTCAAAAAATAATCCCATACAACATATCTACAGTGGGTTCTCCGTTGATTCGGTTTTGGACCCGGAACAAAACAAATCAAGGTTCGCTGGCGTCGGCTTCCGAGCGACAGAGAGAGCGCCAGGCCTTGTGCCACGCTGCCGCCGTCGACAGCGTGACGTTGGGCTCCCAATGGGGGAATCCAATTATTGTGTGGTGCCTGGTTGTTTCCTTGTAGCTCTTGTTTGGAGGAATACTCATGTTTTGATGCCTGGTTGCGCCCAAATCAGCGACAAGGGAGGGTGTCCCATGAGAGCTCTTGGGTGATCGATGTTGGAAAATCAAAGACCGAAACGACCAGCTGGTCTCACTTGACATGAGCAACACACGCAAATTCGTGGTTTGTCCATGGGTGCCGCAAACAAAACCGGGATGGATAGAGGCTAGTACGGGACAGTCACTGTCCCAAACGGACATGGAGGCGGAAACCCTTTTGATGCTTTACATAGCTTTGTGTGGACCCCTTTTGCACCAGGTTTTGATTGTGATGGCGTGTTGGACAAGACTAAGCCAGTGAATAGATCAGTGTGCTGTGATGCACCACGTTGCTTGAAACCACTCCAGTATGAGCGTTGGAGCGTTAATTTCAAGTGGCTCTTGGGCCTGGGGGGGGACTATGCGCAGGTTTGATGTGAGCTGCCCGTGGGGATGTGGATTGTTGTTTCGAATATGCTGAATATGCAAAGCATCAAAGCTCTCGTGACGGTGTTTGTAAAAATCGAAGCGAAGGCTGCAGAGATGTTGGCGGACATATATTTCCAGATGTGCCTCGCCTCAGGACCAAGCTTTCCGGTATTGGCCAGTGTTTGGCCAGTTTGATGCTAGCACAGTGCATTTGATGAATTTGATGCTTCAATGTTTCCAACTAACATGCAATCCGGTATTCTGTCAGCCACATGATCAGCTCATGATCAGCTGACAGAAAACCCAAGCGTAGGTGAGTTCAGCCACCGCATTTTGCACTGAGTCCTCCCCCCAGCCTTGCTGAGCTGTCTGGCGAGGTTTAAGAAGGAGGATGATACTCCAGTGCCAGCGGGCCCGCAGCAACAGGACGGGCTATCGGAAGGGTGTGAAAGGCCGTCGCCAAAGAAGTCTTCTACTGTCCAACGAAAAAACACGTGCCTGTTCGGCCTGACCCCATGGCACTGACGAGCCAACTTACACTGGGTGAAGGTAGATGGCACCATTTTTAACGGCTTATTCACCCCCTTTACTTGCCCGCATCAAGAGAACTGTGTCATCTACTTTGCCCCCCGGTGTAAACCAACTGCTTGGACCCCGAAGGATTTCTCACTTTCAGGGAGCCCCCAACAGTTGAGACGCTGCTGTTTCGAAGCTCTGCACTCGTGCGTGCGTGTTTTTTTTGGTTCTGTGTTTGTGCAGGTGCAGGCACTAATGTTCGGTGAGCATGTTCGCCGAACGCTATCCAGCGGAGATCTTCGTGGGCATATCTGCCAGGATCAGAACATCAGGGATACTTGGGCTAACTTGTCGCAACAGGACTAACTTTCAGTGCATATCACCAACGCCTCACGGCCGGCTAATTTTTTGAATGGGTGCTGTAGTTTTGCTGAATGGAGCGGGCTGCCGCTCGTACGGCCGGCCTGGCCACAAAGGCCTTGCGACTTTCAGCCCCGCAGGCCGTCCACGTGAAGGACCAGCCAAGTGAGCCGCGGCCTTGGATGGGGCCAGGCACTCGTAATCCACATTTTCCCCCTGGGCACCATCGAATAAGAAGTCTTCCTGTGACTCCTCTCAGTTTTCCTGGGAGCATTGCGACGGGTCCCTCGCCCAAACCCAGCTGAGAGTTTGATGCCGCTGAGAATATATGTCGGTGCTACTTAGCTTTGCATCAACTGTTCACAAACGTGTAGCGTCTTTGACACTTTGCCGCACCATGTGTGTACTATTTTCGTGTCAGAATCAAAGAGCCAATGCCACTGAGAACTGCGCCGCTGTCTACATTAGGGATCCCTCATTTCAGGTTTGGACAACTGTTCTGATTTCAACATTGCCGATGAATCTGCTTGCTCAAAGCTGACCTTTAGACTTCTAGGCTTTCAGCTTCCCCTGTTGGATCCTTTTTCAGCCCTGCCTCGAACAGGTTAGCCTTCTATTTCAGGGTCCCTTGAGAACTGAGTAGTTCGCCATGAGGGGCAGTGATTGCTACTAGTGATCATCGCTGATGCTCACATGGACCCAAGTTCTTTGGGTCGGAAAGCCCCTTCGTCTCCGAAGAATTGGCCATCCCCGGCCACTAGGTGCCTTGGCAAGTGCGCACAGGCCAAGGCACCGGGTCGATTCTTGAGCGAATCTTTGAGGAACTCCCATGAGATTGAACCCTGAGATAAATCAGAAACCATCGCCGTTTGACGACAGTTCCAAAGCCCCAGGATTTGTATTCAACATGACAAGTGCAAAGCACACATGTGGAAGCACTTAGGGTGCAAAGAGATTTGGGGGGAAGTCCACAACTGGCAAAACCTTCCAGGGTGCAATGAGCAGCAAGTAGCATTTGAGGTGATGTTTCGAACGCTTCATTGTTCCCTTCATTGATCCTCCGTTTGAGAATTGTGAGTACTCAACCACCTACTGATCCCGAGGGTTGCCGAACTCTTCAATTCGGGAACCTGTGCACCGTTTGCAGAAGGGCGAACATTTGACAAGGTATGACAGGCTTTGTCTCCAGCCGTGGGTTGTCGGCCTGAAACTTGTCCAGGAGCGTTTGCAGTTTCGTGCTTGCGTGGGGATGAGTTAAACTCGAGTTCCAATGATTTGCTGGTTCTGATGCCTCGTTGCAGGCAAGAACGGAAAAGAAGAACATCCTCCAGCCACCTACTCCAGACAAGCCATTTTACAATGCAGACGGCCGGGGCCTTGGAGGTTGCAGAGATGCTAAGTTTGGCACGTCCAGAGGGGGTTGGATGATTTGCAATCCGGCAACGCTTTTGGCAACACGTCGTCTTTGGCTTGTGACCTTTATGATATCTCTCGTTCCTAGTTACACCTTCTTGGCACTATGCCACATTGTGTGTGTGGCTGAGCACGTGCTGCTTTGTTTGACAGGATGCTGATGTTGCGTGTTGAAACAACTTGTACATGCCATTGACCAATGATGCTTCTGTCTAACGAGCCCAAAACCCCGCAGAGTCATAGAACCAACCCAAGTCCACGGGTCCGGAAAGCTTCCTGCTGCTCATGATGTGTTGAACATGCCATCTTTTTTTTGTTTTTCTCCTTTTTCTGTGAGATGCCTCCGTGTTTAGTTTTGCATGACAGGCATCGGCTGAGAAGCAGCTGAGTGATGAGTTTGTTGAGAGGTGTGTTCAGTTGCAACTTGTCCATCCTGGAAGAGCTTCAAACTTCAGCAGTAGTGCCCCAATACTTTAGAGCCTCCGGCTCAGTCCGCCGACATTGTCCTCTCCCTTTTCGCCTTCTTCCTCTCTTCCTTGTCTCCCTTGTGTGTTCTGTCGTCCTCTCTCCCTCCCTCTGCTCCCATCCTCCCCATCCCCCCAAGCCTCTCTCTCCCCAATCTCCCTCTCTCGTATGTATGTATGTATGTATGTATGTATGTATGTATGTATGTATGTATGTATGTATGTATGTATGTATGTATGTATGTATGTATGTATGTATGTATGTATGTATGTATGTATGTATGTATGTATGTATGTATGTATGTATGTATGTATGTATGTATGTATGTATGTATGTATGTATGTATGTATGTATGTATGTATGTATGTATGTATGTATGTATGTATGTATGTATGTATGTATGTATGTATGTATGTATGTATGTATGTATGTATGTATGTAATGTATGTATGTATGTAATGTATGTATGTATGTATGTATGTATGTATGTATGTATGTATGTATGTATGTATGTATGTATGTATGTATGTATGTATGTATGTATGTATGTATGTATGTATGTATGTATGTATGTATGTATGTATGTATGTATGTATGTATGTATGTATGTATGTATGTATGTATGTATGTATGTATGTATGTATGTATGTATGTATGTATGTATGTATGTATGTATGTATGTATGTATGTATGTATGTATGTATGTATGTATGTATGTATGTATGTATGTATGTATGTATGTATGTATGTATGTATGTATGTATGTATGTATGTATGTATGTATGTATGTATGTATGTATGTATGTATGTATGTATGTATGTATGTATGTATGTATGTATGTATGTATGTATGTATGTATGTATGTATGTATGTATGTATGTATGTATGTATGTATGTATGTATGTATGTATGTATGTATGTATGTATGTATGTGTATGTATGTATGTATGTATGTATGTATGTATGTATGTATGTATGTATGTATGTATGTATGTATGTATGTAATGTATGTATGTATGTATGTATGTATGTATGTATGTATGTATGTATGTATGTATGTATGTATGTATGTATGTATGTATGTATGTATGTATGTATGTATGTATGTATGTATGTATGTATGTATGTATGTATGTATGTATGTATGTATGTATGTATGTATGTATGTATGTATGTATGTATGTATGTATGTATGTATGTATGTATGTATGTGTATGTATGTATGTATGTATGTATGTATGTATGTATGTATGTATGTATGTATGTATGTATGTATGTATGTATGTATGTATGTATGTATGTATGTATGTATGTATGTATGTATGTGTATGTATGTATGTATGTATGTATGTATGTATGTATGTATGTATGTATGTATGTATGTATGTATGTATGTATGTATGTATGTATGTATGTATGTATGTATGTATGTATATGTATGTATGTATGTATGTATGTATGTATGTATGTATGTATGTATGTATGTATGTATGTATGTATGTATGTATGTATGTATGTATGTATGTATGTATGTATGTATGTAATGTAATGTAATGTAATGTAATGTAATGTAATGTAATGTAATGTATGTATGTATGTATGTATGTATGTATGTATGTATGTATGTATGTATGTATGTATGTATGTATGTATGTATGTATGTATGTATGTATGTATGTATGTATGTATGTATGTATGTATGTATGTATGTATGTATGTATGTATGTATGTATGTATGTATGTATGTATGTATGTATGTATGTATGTATGTATGTATGTATGTATGTATGTATGTATGTATGTATGTATGTATGTATGTATGTATGTATGTATGTATGTATGTATGTATGTATGTATGTATGTATGTATGTATGTATGTATGTATGTATGTATGTATGTATGTATGTATGTATGTATGTATGTATGTATGTATGTATGTATGTATGTATGTATGTATGTATGTATGTATGTATGTATGTATGTAATGTATGTATGTATGTATGTATGTATGTATGTATGTATGTATGTATGTATGTATGTATGTATGTATGTATGTATGTATGTATGTATGTATGTATGTATGTATGTATGTATGTATGTATGTAATGTATGTATGTATGTATGTATGTATGTATGTATGTATGTATGTATGTATGTATGTATGTATGTATGTATGTATGTATGTATGTAATGTATGTATGTATGTATGTATGTATGTATGTATGTATGTATGTATGTATGTATGTATGTATGTATGTATGTATGTATGTATGTATGTATGTATGTATGTATGTATGTATGTATGTATGTATGTATGTAATGTATGTATGTATGTATGTATGTATGTATGTATGTATGTATGTATGTATGTATGTATGTATGTATGTATGTATGTATGTATGTATGTATGTATGTATGTATGTATGTATGTATGTATGTATGTATGTATGTATGTATGTATGTATGTATGTATGTATGTATGTATGTATGTATGTATGTATGTATGTATGTATGTATGTATGTATGTATGTATGTATGTATGTATGTATGTATGTATGTATGTATGTATGTATGTATGTATGTATGTATGTATGTATGTATGTATGTATGTATGTATGTATGTATGTATGTATGTATGTATGTATGTATGTATGTATGTATGTATGTATGTATGTATGTATGTATGTATGTATGTATGTATGTAATGTATGTATGTATGTATGTATGTATGTATGTATGTATGTATGTATGTAATGTATGTATGTATGTAATGTATGTATGTATGTATGTATGTATGTATGTATGTATGTATGTATGCATGTATGCATGCTAAGTAAGTAATGTAATGCATGTAATGTAATGTATGTATGTAATGTGTGCATGCATGCATGCATGCATGCATACATGTATGCATGTATGTATGTAATGTATGTATGTATGTAATGTCAGTAATGTTGTAATGTAATGTACTGTAATGTATGTATGTATGTATGTATCCTTGCACTTCCCCTTTGCTCCCCAGTATTTCCCGCAAAAAAAACACGGTTTTTCCAGCGTTTTCGCAAAGAGGACGTCCAAAAACATTGAGTTTTTCCAGATTTTCGGCAAAAGGATGCAGGAAGCCCAAGCCAGCAAAAAAGCCGGCAGGGGGAATCGAGCCTGGGACCCCTGTTTTGCGACACCGGCTCCCCGAAGACTACGTTTAGTGGAACGTCATCAAATTGCCGCGCGGTACGTGGGCCCCCCCCCCCAAAAAAAAAAACCTACGTAATAGACGTCGGGCGGGGGGGGGTTAGGGGGGGGGTTATCCTCTATCCTCTAGTAAGTATCCGACACGCCGAGCAATGTCGGCGGACATCCGCCATACCTCACAGATGATGCTCGAAGTGATAAACTCTCTTGACTGTGTGCTGAAGACTTAAGTGAGCAATGAGCAGAATCCCCAAGCGAGAGTTGAATGGGCACAGTGATAGGTACTCGTTGGTTGTGTTGGGTTGGCCCTGGACGCCATAATGTGTGAACTGCGTGTACAAATTGCAGGTACCCTTGCGACTGTTTCAGCGCAGGTCTACAGAACCGACTCCTCGCAACTCCCACTGAAATTATTCAGGAACTTGTGTAGTTGGTTTAGCTTGTTGTTTTGCAGAACGCCCTATTTAGCACGTCGCAAGTCGTATAAAGTTCGCAGTTTTGCCACGGTCTGCCAAATTCGCTCCTGCCAGTTTGTGCCTTGGATCTTCCGAGGTCTGAACTTGATGAAGCTTTCAGACGCAGAGCTTGAGAAGATGGTGCCCTTGAATGAAAGCGGTGAGAGGACGGGTCTTCTCCAGGCTTTGCATGTCATGCCGCCAGTACATTGTGCGATAGGGGCACTGACGGCATTATGCAAGAAACATGGAGTTGGTGTTTGTCCATTGTTACGCCCACAACACTGTGAGGTGACCTTCCAACCATCCTGCGCTGCGGGTCGTTGGTCAGTAGGATTGGTGGCACGTGGGCGCAAAGCCAAATTGCGTGGTCATTGTGCCATGTCGGCGTGGGTGGTCGGCGTGTGCGTGGGATTCCTGCTTGTTGCTCATGTGTGAGACTTCATTAGCATGCACCGAGTCTACCCCAAAGCATGGCAAGTAATCAGAAAGCGTGGACATCCGCACCCGAATGGTTGGCACCTGCCCCATCTATCCGCAAAATGAAGCGGGCCCCCTAGGCGAAGCCAAAAAAAGGATCCTTTGTGTTCAACGTGTTGGTGCAGGTGGCAGTAGGTTGTTGCAAATTTTGTTTTGCACACTGATGCACACCTGAAGTTCGTACACAGGACATCTATCGGTGCCCTACATCATCCGAATAGTTGCACACGGTGTATCTTTTGGCACCTTGGCAGCATGGCGCTTGCGGTTGTCCAATGTGCCACAAGAGCAGTGGAACCCGTTGCCACCCGCCCACACCCACGCCCACACCCACACCCACACACTCACCCACCCACCCACCCACCCACGCACGCGCCCACCCACGCTTATTCATGCTCTCACACTGCATATCATTTTTGGTGGTTTGCCTTCGTTTGCAGAGGCATGCGTTTTCCAGCGCACAACTTACTTCTAGCCGTGGACATGCTTGTACGTATAGGCAGTTGCTTGGCCAAGGCCCATGAGTACCATAGATGAATCCAAAAATGGGCAGGTCACAAGCACATCCATCAAGTCTATGTGTGCACAATGCACAGGTTGTCATCATATGGGTGGGTCTTTTTGAGGGTACCCCGTTTCTGTTGGTCTTAAAGGGAAACCGGGTAACCAAAAGGAGGGGGGGTCCCTCAAAAAGAAGGCGCACCCATATGAGAGCGAATGTCATGGTTTGCACAAGAATTCAAGGATCCCTTGTTGAGAACTATCCAGGGATCAGGGCAGCTCGGCCGTGGACCATGCGTTTGAACCTCAGACCTGAACTCCCAGCCCCTTTGTAACATATGTTTTGAGGCAAAGCACGTATTCACTCCCTGAGCGGGAACGTTACATCTTGAAGCACCTGGCTTTCCCCTTTGAACAATCCGAAGTTTGTGATGTGCGCGAAACACGCGCATGCAATTTGGGCAAGAAGGTCAGAACCCAAAAATGAAGACGAGTCTGTCCGTGCTACCCAGGTTTCGGAATGTATGCGAGAAGGGCATCCGCTGTGAATTTTGCCATTTCAGGCACCCTGGTCAAGCTCCTCGGCTCTCACTTACGGGCGAAGTTTACGTTTCCAGCCACATCTCTTCACTCTGTTTCTTGCACTGTGGGACGTTAGACCACATGCGGCAAGCATGATGGGCCATGGGGGTTTCCATGGGTTTTCATGGGACCACAACTTGGACATGACATCTGATATTGCTGCATCGCCAGCGTCCCCATGCCAACGGTTCCTCCATTGCATTGATGGGGGCTCACCGGCACGGCATCTACCATGTACCTCAAAACCAAATCCCCCCGTCCGCCCCCCCGCCCCGGCCACCAAGTGGCGACTTTTAGAGGCGTGTATAAACATCACAAGAATTCTTGGGATGTTTGCTTGGTGCTTCTGAAAAGTAGAGACCCCACCATTTGGTTTGGTCTACCTGTAAGAACTTCAGAAGCATCCAAAAAGTGGGTCACCTGTCAACTGGCGGGTTGATGGAAATGGACATGAAGACTTTCACAATGGTTGACGACTGTGACAAATGTAGCAAGCGCACCAGAAGGCTAAGAACTAGCTTTCCCATGCTGATCCTTTGATAAGGGACCCCTTCTTTCCAATGGGCAAACAAGAGGGGTTCAGCGGATTCTGCATGTGGGTGGACTTCAATATGGACCGAGCATTTTCTGGCCAGTAGCTTGCAAGCTCTGGATGTGTGTGTGTGTGTGTCACCCGGCTAGTTCCCGGATCGTCACTGCCTTCAGTCGCTTTCCGCCAGTAGAAACCACAGCCCTGCTGCCAACGAAGACGGCTGTGGAATCTCCGTGTAGCGAATTGGGACGCCAATTCGTGTACCTGCATCACTGTGTAAGTAGATACCTTTTTCCGGCTTGAGCGAAAAAGAGACAGTACCTTAATATGTAGTGTATGCAGCTTGACCAGTGTGCGTGTGTGTGCTTGAATACCGCAAGCATGTTAGCGTTGTTTTTGATCAGATGCACCACACATTGGCTGAAAGGCCTGGCCAACAACGCGCGCGATCGAACCAGCTGAGGTTGCGAAGAAGATCCGGCCTTCAAAGTCTACGCGCCTGAAGAACAAGGACGAGTTCAGATATTCGGGCGCGTCTCTTCTTGAGAGCGCCTTTTTTGCGGCTGGTTTCAAGAGAAAGCCAAAGCAAGCCACCGTTTTGGAAAAAAATGAGACCGCCTATTCGGCTGCTTTAAGCAGGGCACGTTTTGTGCTGGAAAACCGCAAGAGCTTGTACATGGACATGGTTTGGTGACGTGGCATTTCCACTTCTCTGGGAGAAGGCCTCTAGTGGCAAATGTGCTGGCATGTCCAAACGCCACCTGTCGCGGGCAGGCCAATTTGTTGTGTCCTGGCGAACCTGGACGCTCTGTCCAACAAACTGACTCTGCTTGCGGTGGTTCGGCAGGATCTCGTGAAGCAGGTGGAGCAGACAGATAGCTAGTGGCTGATCAACCACTTCTAGATATTCCGAGGACCGACGCGGTGTCCAGGTTGCGTGTCGACAGTGTGGATGCTACCCGCGGCTTGGGTTGTTGGCTGCGCAAGCAAGACTTCAGTGAGCCCATTAGACGGAGTACTGGGAACCTATGAGGATGCTCTAGACATTGTGGCAAGAATGTTTGATCAATTTTGTCAAAGAAAGTTTCGTGCATTGCTGATGTGTTGACACCACTATGTTTGTTCAAGAGGTTGCTCTTGTCACTTTCTGCACATGTTGCATATCTAAGTGTGGCATTGTGTCACATTGTCAAGGCGCACGTCACACGTGTTTCGAAGTCGCTTGACATGCCGGAGGGTTTGCGTGATGCTGAGCGCAGATAGCACGATGGTATGCCACTTCTAGTTATCTTGGATGTTGCAGGTAGACAACCGGAGCAGCTTCAGCTCTACCACATGGGATTATAACGAGTTGAACCGCAAGCCCGATTTGCATGCGGCATACATATGTATATATATATATATATACAAATGTGTATGTATATATATATATATGTACATATGACCATATATATATATATATATGCTACCCCCCTTGAAATACTCAGGTTTTTGGCCAGAACTGAGGTTTTTAGCCAGACTGGGGGTGACAAATGCCTTGAGACTCTGAAATGAACTGGACACTGAACTCCATGCAAATTCTAAACACGCAGAAGTTAAGCTCAACGTTGATTAGGAGTTGCGAGTTGTGTGACCGTCACATTGGCGTGCGCGAAGTGCACTTAAAGTCACATTCAAATATACAAAGTGCAATTTGGCAGCTCCAGCTCAAAAAACAACTGTTCAGTACAGGAGTAGTGCGCGAAGTATGTTTTGGCAGCTTCAACGCGCCTGTAGCAGCCCTATTATTTGGTATTTATTATTTTTATTTGGCAGCGAAATTCAGCAAAACATCAACTCGGGGAAAAGGATCTCATTCCTAATCCATGTCCTTGCGCAGTTGCATTTACATGCTAACTCGAGTGGTGTGCATAATTCCTGACATGCTAGTTCAGTCTATTTGAAACATATGTTGCAAACAACTATCCCACGTGTGTGTGTGTGTGTGTTGCTTGTCTAAGTTGGTTCCATCATCGCCAAGAACAAGTATTGAAATTCAAGTAAGGGAAGAATATCCAGTTAAAAAAGCTTTCGAGTTCAAACCAAATTCAAGTTTACTCGTTTGCAGTTTCTTGTGCATTTCAATAAGCAACTGGAGAAGATAGCTATTGTCATGCCCAAATGAATTTGGAATCAAACTCATTTTTGAAAGGGTTATTGTCCTTATCGAACTCCACGTGGTTTGAACCAAGCAAGAACTGAGCCAAGCCAATGACAGGAACGGGTTTTCAATCATCGATCCTATTCTTTGCATAAATGCTGTAAAACGCAATGTTTTTTCAGCATTTGCTCAGATCGTGTTGCCCTGGCTCGAAGATTGAATATACAAGATTCCACAAACATATGTTTAGAATATACTCAATCTTGGTCCCCCAAAAACTTGACAGTTTGTTCTAGACACATTAAGGTTTCGCCCCCTGCATTGAAGATTGAAGATCTACCCAGATTTTCTATTTGAGAATCTTCCATCCTGGCCAGCCCTCAAGTCCACAAAAAAACTGTAAAGGTGTCAGCAACATTTTTCCCCCTGGCCAATTGCAGGCAGTGCAAGTGCACATCCACATTTTGATTCTGACAACGTGCACTCCCGGTCTGCCTTTTAGATTCTTCAAATCCGCACTTAAGGCAATCCAGGATCTGGATGGGAGATTGAAGATCCTCTGACAACTCTTTCTGAAATTCTCCAAGTATGTACTTAGAGTAATCCAGGATGTGCTAGCACGTGCTAGCACGTGCTAGCACGTGCTAGCACATCCTGGATTGAAGATTGAAGATTGAAGATTCTCAGACCACTTGTTCTGGAAATCTTCAATCCATCGTGAGGACAAACTGGTATGTGCTAGCACGTGCTAGCACATACCAGTTAGTCCTAAGGACGGATTGAAGATATCCAGAACAAGTGGTCTGAGAATCTTCAATCTTCAATCTTCAATCCAGGATGTGCTAGCACGTGCTAGCACATCCTGGATTGCACTAAGTACCGATGCTAGAATTTAAGTCTAAAAACGAGTGCATTTTTTAGAGCCTCATTTTAGAAGCTGGAACGTGTGTTTTGCATGCATCTTTACAGCCAAAATGTAAATTTCTGCCCAAAAACCTGAGTATTCCAGGGGGGGGGTACCATATATATATATATATATCGAGCCCTGGCCTGCATTGCTGCATTGAGTTGCGGGCCAACTCAGCAACAAATCTACAAATCTACCATGTGTGTGTGTTGCATAAGGAGACCTTGTTTTTCACTACAGTACAAGTAGCTTCCAAGTTGATCCTCCAACTCAATTTCAGAATCAGTTCCAGTCTGCAGGAATTCAATAAAAAGAACCCAAACCAGGTACCCTCAAAATCAGATACACCCATGAAGGGTGGCCATTGACTCATGTTTCAAGTATCAGCAGATCTGAATTGCCTCGGGCACAGACTGCGGTTGCCCGTGCCAGGTCTCGGATTGCCGTTTCAGCTCACCTGAAAGGCAGGGATTGGGGGTAAGGGCCTCGTCAATCGACATATCTTCCTGGGGAGCGGCAGGCTGGCCCTGGTTGAGTGGTATGCCCTGAATGTTTGGTGTGCTTGTGATAGACGAGAACTTGACGTGAGCAGCAAAAGAAGCGCTGGCACTTGTTGGTCTTAAATGAAACCTCGGGGAAGCTGCAAGAGTGGTGGAGGGACCCGGGAAGAAAGTTGTTGGTTGAGTTGCTCCAGGCAAACGAGCGCCGCTGGTCTTCCCCCCCTCAAAAAGAAGAAGTGGAAATACGCATCTACAGCACGCACATCATGCTTGGCCCGTTGGGGGAGAGGACCATGCATCTCATCGCAGAGGACTATGGCTGCAAAGGCAACAGGTTTGGGCAATGCTGCCAGCAAGCAATTCTTACTGAAACATGCAAGACGTGAGAGAATGTGACAAAGGGGTATCCGTTGACAAAGCCAGTGTTGAGCGGGCAACGTGTTGCTTTCCAGGTGTGCTAATGCTTTGTTGTGTTGGCCACAACGTTCCGTCTTCAACACACGCCATGTTCGCTCAGGATTCAAGCTATTTCATCAAATCTCCAACATGTCTAGCATTTGATCTTATTTCATGAAATCATGTAGGACATCAGCCGCAAATTAACAACTCAGGGCCTTCCTGACACGTCCCCTTGTCAAGGTTTGTTTGGTCGAAGACTTCGCTATTGTTGATGTGCCAAAGGGACACCAACAGGGAGTTGTGTTTTTTCCCTTCCCAATAGGAAGTGGTGTTCAATCACCGACTCTTTTTCACAAGCAGCGGCAAGCTTTAAAGAGCAAAGCCCACGGATGCCATTGTCATACAAAGGAAGACAAAGGGGGATTGCCCCCGCCATATTTTACTCCAAGCTCTCCCTTAGGTCATCACGCGCCACAGCAGCGTGGGGCTGCGGGGTGAGCAGTTTCTCCGGGCGGGGACCGGGCGCATATCGCAGCCCGGGAAAGGCAAAAAGGCAAAGCCAGGATGTGCCCCTCGGGGCTGAATCTTCGCTCTGCCAGCTGGTAATAGATGCAGTGGTATGTGCAAGAAGCACACTGCAATTGTCCAGCTCCACTCAAAATGTGCATCAGTTGTTCAAACAATGTTCACTTTATTTGTTCTTGCTCGGGACATCCCTGTCATTGTTGACACGTCGCGAAATCTAGCTCTGTTTTTTTGTCACGTGCAACAGATAGCGGTTTTACTGCATGTTGTCTCTAATGACTGCAAAGACTCGTCCACTTGTCCCACTCGTCACCAGCAGCATTTCAGAAAATCAGACAATGGAGGTCCAAGAGTGGTTGCAAATGTATGGGCTAGGCATTGGACCAGTGAGAACCATGACAATTTGTTTCTTGAGCACTGACCAGCGAGACTGCCTTTCCAGCATCTCCTCCTGTGAGCCCGCTGATTCAAGCGGGCAAACACATTGCCTTTGGAGGTACTTCATGTTCTTACACACTTTCCGCAACTGGGTTTGGGTCGCTTTCAAGCACAGCTCAGCTCCGCCTTTCAAGGCCCCGGTCGCATGCCATTCACGTGTTTCTCAATGACAGAAGCTTGCATCTATGATTGGCATGTTTGATCTTTGAACCGTTTCTCAGATCAAAGACTGGTGGGTTTAGCCACGCGATGCGGTCACTGTGGGAGTGCCCTTGATGGGGTCACCCGCAGCGCACACATGGCCCAGATGTCACAGCAAGGTTGGGGCCAGCCTCGTCAGGCCCCGTGAGGCTTCAGTCCATTGGTGAGGGACAAGAGGTTCTGTTAGCTGTTTGCGATAGCCGAAAGCCGAAGCCGACACGGGCCCGGCCCGCTGTGATTCGGATTGGCCATTGGTTCATCGTATGAATGGCGCAAAAGTCGGGAGCATTGGATTTCACCGTTTCGTTGTAGTCGACCCTGTTCCTGGTGCGGTCTTCGGATCTTCGAGTTAAATTTGCCTTCACGCGGAAGGTGCCACTTGAAACGGTGGCGTGCAACACTGTTGGACAGAGCTGCAGAGCTGCTCGGCTGGCAGAAGCTGGAGACTTGTTGATAAGATGTCTTTGAAGCGCTGGCGATGGGGCAGGAACTCGGCACTCTCTTCTTGGTCACTTAGTAGTTACCAGAAGTTTGGAGCAGCCTGCGGAGTGCATGACAATCGAAGCAGTCTGGGCCTCCGGTATGTGACTTTCCCAGCCAAGCGCTGCCGTGCCAGATCAAAAAGACGCGGAGCTGTTGTTGCCCTGTGCGAAAGGCGTTTCTTGCGCGTTTGGCCTCAACTGATTCAAACCCCTCTCGACTTCGGTCGAATGGATATACGGTATACGGGCACCGGCCGCTGGCACTCGCCAGAGAAGCTGCCACATGCAACGCCCAAACCGCTAATCACCCGTTCCACGCCCGAAATGCTATGATTGTTTGTCCTGCCTGAGGAATGGGTGTTAAACATCACTTCATACATGTTTGATGATAAAGGGTGGCACTGACACAAACACTGTGAAGCCTTAAGATATGTTCAAAGGGAATGCATTCATTTATGCTGAAATTATTGAGGAAGCGGACACGGGACAATGGAAATTAAAGCATAATTACAAGATGCGTAATACACACGGAAAGGTAATAATTCCCTTTTCATATGCATTGAAACCTTCACTATCACGTTTGATGAACTATGATGCTACAGTGAGATTGAACGTATATTGTCATTCGGCAATGTCTTCTTTAATCTAGTCAACAACACCTACAGAGACACCACACCGCCGATCGAACACATGGTACATAGATCAACCGACATATGAAGCTGGTTAATAAAGATGTTGAGACAATAGATTCAATGATATTATCACTTAGTAGAGGCACTACACTTATTAGAGTCACTAAACCTTACATGAGTTGGTTTACTCATATTGTGTTTCATACTTTTGATATGATTAAGCTTAATTCACATGTGTATAATTGTTCATTATACTTTACGATTACTCTACAATGTGAACAAGTCACAAAACAATCATGATACAGCCAGCTCACCCAACACCGCTCAATCATAAAAAATAGTTCATTCCCAACAACACAACCCTAAGCATCATTGAACCCTCCGTTGAAGGGGTGAAAACACCAACGATTGCAAGGTTTTGGACCTCCTTCGTGCCTTTTGGAGGGGCCCCTTGGATCCTTTTCTCAGGGCTCCCCAGATTTTCTTAGGGCGTTCCTCAAATTTCTCCTTAGATTTCTTCCGTGTTTTTTTTCACACCTTCGAAGGGTTCCTTCGGGTTCCAACCCGGATTCCCCCAACTCGGAGGGCCGGTTGCGGAGCGGCTCCTGGCCTTTGTATGTATAAGTACATATGTACATATATTCTGATGTGACATATATTGTAAAGATACATATATTGTACTGACACATGTATTGTGATGCAAGCGGGCCGGGCCGCGCCGAGCCGAGCGCGAGCGAGGCGGAGTTGGAGCAGCTGAGCGCCGCGGCGCGGCAGCAGCAGCCGCTGCTGGAGCTGCTGCAGAGCAGCGAGCAGCGCCTGCAGGCGACGAACCGGGGACGATTCTGGGGGGTTAGCCGACTCACCGATTCGAGCCATGGCCAAGAAGGGCCAGGGGATGATTTTCATGAGGTTGACGAAATCCAATGAGAGATTGATGTTTTTCTTTTGTTTTTCCTTCTTTTTTCCGGAATGTGTGAATGGGAACTGCAGCTTGATAACAGGGTGGGTGGACATTTGCGCCTGCCTAAATGATGTCCGCCAAAGGGTCCGCCATTGAGCTTCGCACCATAACTTCCCCCAAAACCTTTTGAAGGGTGGTTTCGAATTCCTTTGTGGTGATGGCTGTCAAAACAAGCCCGTAACGCTAGTGCAGTGGCTTGAGGGGGTTGCTCCTGTTTATGTTGTCTTTTTGTTTTGTTGTGGAGGGTGGGTTCTCCGTAAGACCAAGTGCCGACAAAGAAGGAGCCTGTTTTCCTTTCGCAAATCCACAAGAGGATTGATTCTTCCAATTTTGAGCACCGGATTAAGAAGCTCAATTGGGGCTGTTCTATGTCTTTGGAAATCCCTTAAGACTCCATGAAGCGAATCCCTTTCGGTGCATCGGCATGGCTCGCTCGCTCCGTCCGATGGCGGTGGGCGTTCTTGGACCGAGCTTGCGGCTGTTTGGCGAGTGCACGCGTGTTTCAACAAGACGGGGGCGACTGCCGCCGGATTCTACATCCCGTTCCCTGGGCCCAACCGGATTTCTGACATCTCCGGCAGGAACTGCGCCTGGCGCAAGAAGACGCCGAGTGGCACACCGCCGGCGCCCTAAGGAGAGGCCTTGAAAATGTTGGCCCTCGTGGGCGAAGTCAAAGAGGCGGGTTGCGGCCTCGCTCAGGGTGAAGGTTCCTACTTGGAGTCTCAGGTTGCTGAGTCCTTATGATTCTGGCCGCATCGGTGTGTACGGTATGTTGCTTTTGAATGGCTTCGGCTCGAAGTGGAAGACTGGCACACATTTGCCTGGAGACCCTGCTGAGTTCGAGCGGCATGTGTTCACCATGCCAGTTGGTTTGGTTGAGACATGGTTCAGTGTTATTGTTGTTATTGTTGTTGCATTAATTGGAACACGCACATATATCTTAGGAGCATACTATGTTCCTAAGATCACACACTTAGTTGCAAATTCGAGGGTTGTGTCAGCAATCAAGTGGCAGACTACGGCCTGTTTGAAATCGTTTGGAGGGTCAGGGTTCGCCGCTTATGTGGTCCTTACGTTCGCCAGATTCGGGCAGTGGTCCGGGGTCTTATTGTAGAGCAACTACTGTAGGATGGACGAATTTCTGCACCACTTTGAAACCATGGGAAACCATTGTTCGCTATGTCCTTACCCCAGTCCGTACACAGGTCACTGAGATGAACATGGACTTCTGCGTGCATGAGGTCCCATCAGTTGCCAAAAGCATCTACAGCTAGAGACTGGGCCGGGTAGCCGGCGCAAGGATCGGACATGGTTAACTGGCTGTTGCATGTGACGAATTTAGATCTCACTCTGCTCAATTCATGGTTTCCTCGGAGTCTCTTCCCTCTGCGCAAATCCGGCCCATGGCACTGGACAGGAGGGACGCAAACAGGTCCAGCAACACAGAGGCATGAAACACCAGGGTGAAACTGCAACAAGCAGCTTGGGATTAGGAGTGCTTGTGCCCGTCAAACAGCCTGGCGGCCACAGATTGCTACAAAAAATCAGGTCAAAGGGAAGGGGGTGGTTCGATCATGGAGGCACACTCCTACTGTGCATGGACGAAATCCTGCACCACCTAAGAAGCTCTGGAATGATGATTCCCCTGTAAATACCAACGAACCCTTGCAAACTGGTGCAGGATTCCAGAGTATTTATCGGAGCGCTGAGCGTTGAAACTGGGACATTCACAGAGCTGAGAGCCGACGGGCGAAGTTCTGGCGAAGGGGCATGGCCGCCTGGGCACTTTGGGGCTTGCGTGCAAAGCTTGCGCGGGCCTAGTTTCATCATGCGCGGGAAAAATGCGAGTGATGACTCATGATGCTGCCTGGTTGCATTGGTGGGCAGCAGTGAAAGGAAAGTCTGGTGGTGGCTAAACGGCTAAGGAGGAGCAAGAAAGAGTTCTGCACGCAGTGCTGGCAGGATGTTGCTGTGTCGACTGGCCGGTGCTCGCAGGAGTTGCAAGGAGTCAGGAGTGGACAAACATGCCTGCGAGTGCGCACAAACAGGGCCGCATAGCAAGGTTGACTTGGGCACTGTTGGCCTGCAACTGAGAGAGTGTACTGTGTATACTGTGTACAACAGGCATGGTGGCATGTGACTATTCCATAGGGCACCAGATGCACCCTTTGCCATCAGACCTACCCTGCCATCAAGAATCAAGAGATTGACGCCATCCGGGCGGGTCTGCTCCTTGCATCACCTTCGGGATTTTGGCGTCCGGGCGCCTGGGCAGACTTGCCAGGAGTTGTGCGCGGTCATGCGCGCACGTCTTTCGGCACTTTGCGCCGGGCAGTTATGTGTCCTGTTTGGGAAGAGGGTCATAAACAGCAGCAAGCCTTTCGCGTTCGCTTTTCCAAAAGGGCTTTGTACAAGCACCCCCCCCAGCAAGCTTCAATCAATTGGGGCGGCCGGGGGGGGCCTGCAGCACATTCAGAACAGCATGGACTTTGCTTTTAGCTGACGATCAGAACATGCAGTCCAGCCTCGGACAGGTGGCGTTTCACTCGTCGGCCAGGTTTTTTGCATTTTTTACGGGTGGTATGAAGCCGCACAGCAACACAATGGTCATGTGTGGGCTGCGGGTTGCCGGAAAATCAGCCGTCACAGCCATGCCAAGCTTACGCCACAAAGGCATGATATGGCAATTATGTTGCTGGGCCGGGCGTGGCACCAAACGGGTTTCTTCCAAATAGGGGGACCTTCAAAATTGATGGTGTCATTCTGTTTGTTTCCTTTAAACAGCCCATTTCGGGGTTGCCCTGGGCTTTTTCATAATCAGAGGGGGTTGTGGGAGGCCTATTTCACCCCCCCCTCCCCGGATCGAACTAATTGGAGAACAGCACCAGAGACTGGTTCAACCCAAAGAGACCCCTGAATGTGACGTGATGATCCCTGCTTGTAACGAAATGCCTTAGTTATGGAAAACCAGCTGTGCAATTATTTAATTTGTTGTCCAATCATATCGATAGAATCGGACTTTGCGCCTTTTTTCCTCAGGGCCGTGATGACGGAAGCTGCAGCGCTCACGATCGAGGCACGGTTTTGACTATAAATGTTGGACGGATGTAGCCCACTTCCAAGCTCGTGTTGATGATGTCCATGAATCAAAGGTTTGCCTAGTAGTGCGGAAGCACTTTTTGTCGAGGGGTCACCCTGAGGTAAGCCGGTTGGGGGTCCACAAAAGAGGCCAGCCAGTTGCGTGAAAAAAGTGGGTGCTTTTTGCGAGGCCAGATCGCAAGATGGGTTAGACACGTGCTTTCGCAAGCACCAGTTGGAGCACTCTTCTTGTTCTCTCGTTGAAAGCAGCTTGGGGGCTTGCCCTGTGGAATAGTCTTGGTGTCCCTGCTTTCATCCCCTCTCGCCAGAGCCGCGTGCAGGACCTCATTTTTGGGGCGAAGGAGAGGAAGTCGGTGGACAAGGCCACGTGCGAGTCGAGTATCTCGTTGCGTTTGTTTCTTCAAGGTGAACTTCGGATGATTTGTAAGCGAGTGAGAAGAGACCCATGGGTTCTTGGATGGAACTTTCAATTTCACCGTCCGGTGGCGAACTCCTAGTTTTCTTGCAACATGTCGGTACAGCCCCGCCACTTTGAGGGATACAACCCGAAGAACATGAATAAGACTTCCAAGTAGCTCTGGGTGCGGGACCATCCGAGGCTGCATGGCATGAGCCGATGTGGCGTGTTTGCACTTGAAGTGCTGTGATCCTTTTGGCCGACATCCAATAATTTTCTTCATGCGCTGTGCTGTCATCCCACAAATCTAATTACTGTACTGGATCTCCTCGGCTCAGTTTTCCTACCAGACATGGCACAGCTGATCTCCGCTGTACGAATTTCCCCCCTGAAAACTGCTGGATGTTTCTGCTTGGCGATGTGGGTTTGGATGAAAATCAAATCACGAAAAAAACGCAGGTTTTAGTCTTTGTTTCCATTTGCCAGTGTTCCATTTTGGGGTTACCCTATTTTTGACCCACACCGATGTGTTTCTCCGAAACGGGGTTGACAGGAGGCGCGGAAGCTGGACGAGCTGGTGATCAGCTGCTTGAGGAGTCTGGCCATGGACGCCGTGCAGCAGGCATCCCATGGCATCCGATTTAGAGAGTCGGGGGCCACGAGCAATGAGTCGTTAGTTGCCCGGCAAACATGGCTGGTTGTGGAAACTTTAGAGCCTCCGGCTCATTCCGCCGACATTGTCCTCTCCCTTTTCTCCTTCTTCCTCTCTCCCTTGTCTCTTTCGTGTGTTCTGTCGCTCCCTCTGCTCCCCATCCTCCCCATCCTCCCCATCCCCCCAAGCCTCTCTCTCCTCAATCTCCCTCTCTCTGTTTCTCTCTCTCTCTCTCTCTCTCTTTCTCTCTCTCTCTCTCTCTCTGTTTCTCTGTCGCTTTCTGTCTCCTTATCTCCTTCCTGTCCACGCCCCTCTACAGAAAAAGGGTACCCTAATTCGAACCTCTCCACTCTCTCACTTTCTCGCTCTTTCTCTCTGTCTCTCTCTGTCTCTCTCTCTCTCTCTCGCTCTCTCTCTCTCTCTCTCTGTCTTTCTGTGTCTCTCTTTCTCAGTCTCTCTCTTTCTCTGTCTCTCTCTCTCTCTCTGTCTCTCTCTCTCTCTCTCTCTCTCTGTCTGTGTCTTTCTCTGTTTCTCTGATTCTGGCTCTGTCTCTGGCTCTGTCTCTGTCTCTCTCTCTCTCTCTCTTTCTCTCTCCCCACGTATCAGACGTCGGGCGGGGGGGGGGGGTTAGGGGGGGGGTTATCCTCTATCCTCTCTTAGGTGTCCGACACGCCGAGCAATGTCGGCGGATCTGTGAGTTGCTGAGGAATTTGGGACCTCTTGAAAATGGTTGGTGCTTTTCAGAAAAGTCCTCATGTGAATGCATGTCCGAGGGCACTTTGAGTTTGGCCAACAGGGCCCGTACAGGGGCGCAACAATTGAGGTTCTTACATGATTGCTGTTGTGTCGCTGTTTAGAGGGGACGAGACGTTGTTTGGACGATGAAACACATCGAATGCCATAAGTGTTTGGTCGTGTGTTTGGTACTAAGATGGAGTCTTGCAAAGTTTCAGCCAGCGCGACCTGCTTTCTGGGATATATAACGAAGGTGTCCAACGATTCCGATATGATTGTTGCCAGAAGACCAGCGGCTGCTTTCTTGCTGGTGCTCAGACGGGACATCTTGGAATGAGCCTGGGGGTTCCACCTTAAAACGAAAATCTCCATTGATTCCCTCAAAGGAAACGTTGCCCAGTGGTGCCCTTGTTTCCTTTGTCAGGTAAGGGTTCCTTGTAAACCCAACCAACAAAAAAGTGTGCCCAATTTTTTTTCCAATGGCCACTGGGCATCATTGCAAAGCGCCAGTGGGACGAATGTATTTGTTTCTTGGTCGTTCCCTTCGCTCGTTCCCATGGCATCTCTCGCTTTGCGCGTCGCGAGGCCAACTCCGGGCATCCGGGGACGCCCATGGCCATGGCGCCGGTGGCCTACGCGCTCTGGGCCAGGCCGGCGGCTCGGGCGGCGGCTGGGGGTGGGCCAGGCCGGATGCGGTTCGGAGGCGGCTCGGAGGCGGCTCGGATTGGTTTGTGATTTGTTTGGACTGGTTTGGACTAGTTTGTGCTGGGGATTGTTTTCTTTTTGAGATGTGCTTGAAGGGGTTGATGAGAGCAATATGGTTTGGTGCTGCGATTTTTCTAATATATTTTTGGCGGGAACTTGAAGTTTTTAGCGCCTTGGAGACGTAGTAACGACAAACGGCTTGCTCGTCATGGGGAAATCATACATCCGAGTCTTTTGTGATGCGTCCATGGCATTCGCGGACGGCACGTTGCAGACTTTTGGCTGCCAAAGTTAATTAAGGGAGTCCGGATTTGCAGAAATTTAGCACCCTAAAGACGAGGCTTGGAATTAAATAGACTCAAGGACCTCGTGCATACTACGTATTCATATACATTCACACTATATGTTTTTATATAATATGTTACTAGCCCCTGTGCACAGAAGACTGCAGTAAAGGATAGGCAGAGACATGTTTGGGTAAGACGCTGAATTAGGTGCAAATCGAGATAGGGCCATGACATGTAGGTGGCTGAGACCACCCACCTGTGCAGCATTGGAAACCGATGTCAATGAGTCCAAGCGGGTGCAGGGTTGAACGCCCAACCACTCAACCATGTAGCAAATGGCTGTTGTAGCTCATGATTATATATATATATATATATATATATATATGTATACAGATATAACTATATATATATACACATACACCCTCACATGAATTCTCTTCGCTTCTAGTGACGGCGGGGGGGGGGGGGGGCGTGCCAGGTGCCCTTGGCAATCAAACTTGAGACCTGCGCATACTCGTTTCGGCAAAACTTGGAGGTTCCCGGCAGAACCCAAACAGTTGGACTCAACATGAATTGCGACCTGTTGAGCAAGGGCCAGAAGGGTCTTCCTGATCCCAAGCATAGAACTGCAAAGCAAACCGCCGCGCGTTTTGCCGAGGGCGCCTGAGAAGCACACACTTGGGATGCAGCTTTCCCAAAGCGCCGCTTGCCAGGATCCTGAAGTATGATCCAGACAAGCCTCACTGGATGAACCGAGACCGATTTGTCCTCTCCATGGGCCGGGAGCCTGGAAGGGACATGCGCAAGAAAAAGCGTGCTCAGTCGTGTTTCTTGATCAGGGCTCCTTAAAAGATACATTTTGCCCATTTAAACATGGCTTTTTCCATATGATGTAAGGATCCCTGTTGAAAAAGCCTTGACCAGAGTTTCTTTCCAATTTAAGGTGGCTGGTTCTCCTTTCTCTCCGGCAGCCACGAAGGATGGCTTGCTTCCAGCTCCTCAACTCATCAACAGCTAGTCTAAATGGGATGAGCAAGAGGTTCAATGAATCAAGGTCACCAACCCCCATCTACCTTGACAGCACTTTTGGCCGCAAACTGGGTGAATCCAGCCTTGCTCATTCACAGACACACATGGGATTCTGAATGATGTTCTTAAAGCTGCAATGTATCTCGAGATCATTCAACACACGTGTGCTTCGATCCAACTCACCGCCCCGACATGCCCATCCGTGGGGTGGGAGTGGTGTGACCCGTGGCACGCGGGAGCGTGGCGCAGGTCTTGGCAGCCGGGGGCATGCCCCCGTGGTGTTTCTTCATTGGGAAAGTAGGGATGTCCTTGGCCTTAAGGAGGGTTGGATGACTTTCGGAGGGAAAAAGATAGAAACAACTGTACCCTCCAACGAAACAAGCATGAAAGCCCGCGGGCCCCTTTTCCCGCAGGAAATGTTCCAAAGGAGGGTTGTTGACTTCCAAATATTGGGAGCGCATTTCCTCAAACACAGTTTCTTCCCTGCTAGTCATCATTGTGAAGTACATTGAAGCACCAGACACGATCTCTTGGTTTCCTTTGGTTACCTACAGTGGTTTGTAGGTTGCCCGGGTTTTCCCTTCGCTTTCTTCGTGATTTACCTATGGGCTCGCTCCCTTTGATTCCTCAGGCCACGCCTCCATGCTGCTCTACGGCCTGCTGCACTTGGCCGAGGTGAAGGAGGCGCCAGTCTTGGGAGCCATGGACCCCTAGGTTTGAGAAAATCCTAAGAACATTCCTGCTTTGAGGTTCCCCGTATTTTGGGTTGGCTGTTTTGGTTCACCTGTGTTCAGGATTTTGAGGTTCACCGATTTTGAGGAACAGCCTTTGATGTTCAGAGGTAGCCAAAAGAACACTCTAGTTTTTGCGAGATTGTTTGTTTGATTCATAGCCCAATAAGTTTGGGTCAGAATTTGCAGCTCCAAAAGCAGGAGGGACAGCGGGGACTCGCTCAAGTACCACGAAAGCTGGAGGGACATGGGGGAAGTGTCCCATGTCCTGGGGAACGGTCGATTTGACCGCGGACTGCGGTGTGAGGCAAAGGTCCAAGTGCGGCTTTGATTGCCAGGTGTCGCACGACGAGCAGGACTGAGATTCGGGTCAAGGTCTTAGATGCGAGAACTCGCCGCTGGTTGAACCACGTGCATGGCCAGCTCACGTTGCAAAATGAGCTCATTTTCATGGGGGAAGGCTACCAAGTGCAAGACCTCCCCCCCCTTTTTTTGGTGGATACTACTCGTAGCATTGTTTTGCGGAGGTGACGTTGCCCCAGACTTTGGCAGGCGCACAATGGATTCTCACAACGTGGCAATTATGACTGACTATTCAATTGCTTTCAGTCAATGACCAGCAATGTTTAGCGGCACAGGACACTGGGCAGCCGGCTGTTTCCCTGGATGACATCAAGGCAGGAAGCAACTTTGGAGCCATAGCGAGAGGAGCTCAGAGCATAGGTGTCCTTTTTGGGTTAGTTTGGATGGAAACAGATTGCACTGGTTTATTGGTTTCATTCTATTTACCAGGAGCGTCTATTTTCCAGAAGGTCACCTATGGTTCGAAGCCTCCAGCTATCTCGCCAGTTTGGAGCGCTGACAAGCTGACATTTGAGGTTTAGGTGCATGAGCGATGTCTCAGGTTGGTGAATCTTGGTTTGCCAGGAACATAGATACGTAGACCCTCTATTATGCGAATGCCGCCATTGACTACAGTTAAGCCATGTTTAGCTATCATCGCGCCAAGCAGTTATTTGCCTGCCGGCCACCCACGTTGATTTGGTGGTCACGGCTCACGCATCTAGCTTGGTTGGACACCGTTCTGTAGATTCCTCAAATGGCACCATTGATTGTCATTATTCTTCGGAAACCGGAATTTCAGGGTGCTCAGTGCAAGCACACTGCCATGTAATCCCTCCAAGGTTGCTCGTTTTGTTTAACATGTTCGCTGACTAGTTCAAGTTTGTTCATCAACATGAGTGTTGCCTACGCTATGTTTGCTGCAACAAAGTACCTTCCATTCGGGACAATCGAGGCCGTCTATGAGTCTATGCTAAGATGTCATTCTGAAAATCCGGCAGGGGTGTGCTCGTGAATCACCCATCTCATGACTCGATGTTTGACTTTCGTGGGTACGTTATGTTCCGGGTGCGGATCGCATTTGATACGTCAACATCTTTAACCTTTCAAACCTGCGCTGTGGTGAAGACCTTCAAATCCGAAACTCGATCTGCCGTGAGGACTTCCGGCAATGGGGCTCCAAGTGCCCCGGCCATCCGGAGTTCGGTCTGAAGCTCAGACCCACGTCTCCCCAAATTCACATGGAACTCAGAACGGGGCCCCTAAAGAGGAGATCTCTCGACTGGTGGTTTTTCCGGGTGGGCTGGAACAGCAGAATTATCTCTTGTGAGGATCTTCACCAGAGGGTCCGACGGTCCCAAGTTCACCAGACTGTACCCACGTTGCCCTTGCGGAAGGCTATTTACCAGGGTTCACCACAAGGAGGGTTCACGTGCATGTGCGCGTTTTTTTTTGGCTGAGGTGTTGCAGAATATGGTTTTTGCTGACAGAGTGCCAGGGCGCAACCAAAGCCTGCCCAACAACACACCGCCCACCCACAGATTCACAGACGGCGAACGTGGCCAGCAACCATTTTGGGGCTTCCCTACTTCACTTCGCTTTTGCCATGAGTTCCGGAATGGCGATGCACATGGATCATCAATCTGCGCTGTACCGATGGCTGGAGCCTGTGGCCATGCAGGTGCTACAGGTCTTCTTGGAGAACACCTCCGGGGAGTGCATCAAGAGCTTCATGGAGTATACGGTTTCCTGCCACCTGCCGGATGGGAGCCACCTCAGCCAGTGGGTGGATGGAGAGCCCGGAGACCGCTTCAGAAGCCAAGTGCTCCTGGCCTTGGCCAACTGGATCAACTCCAAATTGCGGCAGTTGGACATGCACGTACTCATGATGGCAAGAAGCCACCTGGGTGGCGATTGCCATCTGAACAATCACTGCCCGTTAGAAGGCCAGCTCGTTCCTGCCGTGCAGCGGATGAATCAATGCACTACGAGGATACAGAGTTACATTCAGCAGCAAGCTGAGCATGCGGAACATTTCTTTTGTGACTTCATCTACCACTTCACGATACAGCTCTTGGGTCAGGAGAGCGCCTGCTTGGCCAGCGCTCTGGCTGGGCTTAGTGGCATGGATCGGACCACTGAAACCAGCTGCCTGCTGTCCCACATGGTCAGCCAGCTGGAGTTGATTCGTGCGAAAGTCGTGCAGGTTGCTTTGGAGCTATGGCCGCACGAGAATCATGCGACCCTCTTCCAGATGCAATTCTGCCGCTGCTTCACCGTCACGGACAACTACGGTTCTGATCCTGCGTTGGAGCCACATGAAGCCGATGAGGCCCCCTTCCAAGACGCGCAGTTTGGCATTATTCTTATAGATTCCTACGGCAGCCTGATGAAGCTACTGGTGCACATTGAGGAGCTCATGCACAATGAAGAAGCAGCAAGAGGATTGGTCATGGCCGTGGATTTCGAGGGCGTAGAGTTGCATCGAGAAGGACAGCTCTGCCTGGTTCAGATGACCTTGAGTGACCGCCCCAATCTCGTCTATGTCTTGGACGTCTACGTTCTGCAGCATGCCTTGCTTATGCAGACACCCCGGGGCACATCTATGAAAGACATTCTGGAGAGGGACCAGGTGCTCAAGGTGTGGTTCGATCCTCGCAATGACGTGGACGCCTTGTTCCACCAATTTGGCGTCCGACCAAGCCACATCTTTGACTTGCAGTTGGCAGAGGTTGCCGGCCGAAGATCCAAGGGCCTCACTGTGAAGTATGTGCAGAGCCTTCAGAAGTGCCTTTCGGCCTGCGATCGCTTGGAGCAGAATCAGAAAAACTTTGCGGATCACATCAACTCCATTGGCAAGAATCTCTTTGAGCCCTCTGTGGGCGGAAAATACAGCATCTTCACGAGTCGGCCGCTTCGAGATCAGATCCTCATCTATGCTGCCCACGACTCCAGATACATGCAGGTGCTTTACGAATCCTATATGGAGAATCTCGACCCTGAGTGGTTCCAACGAGTCATGCAGGGCAGCTCTGAAAGAGCGCATTGGTGGACATACGAAGTGTATGTGCGTCCCTCGTCAGACGCACCAGAATTTTAAGCGCGCAATCAACAAAAAATGGGGCTTCCCTACTTTCTCCTGGCCGACTACCAAGGGGTTCATATTAAAAGGACATATCTTCAGCTCCTGACAATGTTGGGTGGCTCAGGTGGCTCAAAGTTAAAAGCACAGAAGGCAAATGTGGGTTTGTCTTTTAATAGGCGTACTTCAACATATGTTTATTTTGCTTCGGTTTCCCTTCAAACCGACCCCAAAACCGCAAGGTGCCCTCCAAAAAGGAGAGAAGAAGCCAGGTGAAGTTTGGTCTACCGGGGGTTACCCCAAACGCCACATCCATTGGGGATGTGGGGATTTGGGGGGGGAGGCTTGACTGCCATTGGGTTGGATCTTTCGACTTTCACTGTTTAGGAAAATCCCTCAATTTGTTTCCACGAAACCCTCGACAAGATGTCCAGCCTCCGTCTCGCGAGGCGAGACGGCGGGCGTGGAGGTGACCACTGGGCCGCTGGGCCAGGGCTGTGCCACCAGCGTAGGCGGGCATTGCGGCGAGCGCGTCCTTTGGGCCGGTGGTCTGGTAAAACAAAACACGTGGCTTTGTTGATTGCAACAGCTGGTGTTCTGGTTGATGTTGGAAGCGGGATCTTGAGCATGTTGCTTGTGTTGGCTGTCGGGTCGGAAACCGTCAGCGCAAAACCCACGTATTGCACGCTTCGGAAGACGGCCACTTGTTGTCTTCGCAAGAAGGTGTTCCCAAGAAAGTGATCCCACCCAACACATGGTAAGCGCCCCTGCCCAAGTGATCCCACATGGTATGCATCACGCCCAACACGTGGTAGCACCCTCGGTATCCCGCCCAAGTGATCCCACCAACACATGGCAAGCACCTTCCCGCCCCGCACATGGTACCCCGCTCAAGTGATCCCATCCAACACATTGTAAACACCCCGTTCAAGTGATCCCACCACCCCCGCCCAAGTGACCCCACCCAGCACGAGGACGACCTTCTGAGTGCCACCTCTCAGTATCTGAATGAAATTTAGGAGCGCTGATCCGAGAGCGGAAAAAAGGGTTTGCGAAGGCAACGCTTTCACAACATTCAGAAACCAGGGGCGCCAAACCCAAGAATCACGAAACATGTTGGATCTCCAGAAACACGTGTTTTGTGATCACTGAGCATGGGCGGCCAAAAACATTGAGAATTCCCACAAAGCCATGGCGCCGAATTCAAGAAAGGTTTCAATGGATCGCTACACTGATCCGGCCCTTTTTTTGCCGGGGGATTGAAACTCAGTCTTTGAAGGGGAAACAAAAATGCCTGCATCACTTTGAGCCATTGCACCGTTTGTTGCAATTTGGCAACTCGAAGTGCATCTAGGCTGCAAGGGACAGGAAGCAGTCAAAGCCCCCGATTTAATGATTTGGCATGGTGTTGAACAAACGCCGTTGCGGGATCAACTCCAATTCGATTTTCTTTCTCTTTGAATTTGCAACACACCCCTGATGTTGGGACCCTAACAAACAGAACCGGTCATTTTTGTCCGGAATTTGCGTTTTGCCCAGCGTTTTCACCCCTATTCAACAGAAAACAGGGCTCCCTGTGCTCAAGACTCTCCCACCATAGGGGGTTTGAAGCCTTGCCCAGAGCTGCTTGCTTCAGGCATTGCTATTGCGTCCAAGTGGCTAGCAGCAACCTTCAACAAGCTGCAGCCTGAGCTTGGTGTTCCCGCGTGCCATGCGGGTCATGAGTGGGAGCAACTGCTGGCCACTGGTCAGTATCAACTGATGTCAGCGGGCCCATGCAACAATCATGAACCCGGTTTGCGAAGCATCAGGAATCCATGTTTCGGGACCTGTGCCACCTCTAGAAAGTACATCCCCGCTTGTGCATAGTGGAGCAATTGGAGAATGCCAAAGTGCGTTGTGTCAACATGCATTGATTGTCAAGCTCCTGTCAAAGTAATTGGATCAGATGGATCGAGTCACGTTCCGTCAGCCTCGACACTCGAGGCCAGGTTTTCAACTCTTCGATTTTGATGCCTACGCGTTGGCCAGCGATGGCGACATGCAGGAAACTGGCCTTGGGGAGAATGGCTTGCATTCCAGTCAGCAAAGGACGATCAGGACTATCGAATGTGCTTCCTTTTGATGCTGTTGGATGGAGTAGTTGAAGAGGTTGGTACTGCCACTTGGGCAGTCAGAATCAGTGGCCTTGTTCGAATGATTGGCAGCAAGAAACTGAGCTAGGTCCTCCAGTAGAGAGGTTAGCATAAGGGTACCCTTTTTTCTGTAGTCTATTTTAGTGGGGGACCGCTCCCCCAAAAAGGGGGAAAAGGGCACTACTGGGGGACCTACTGAAAATGAGCCGAACCAAGTCCCACTTCCCGAGTGGATGGCCCAAACAAAGCCCAAGCTTTTGTTCACCACCAACATGGTCTTCGCAAAAAGAGACCGAAGTCCAGGAACTCAGTAAGTAAGTAACCTTGGGATGGGCAAAGGCGTCCAAAGTAACTCCAACGCCCTGCGGGTTTCATGCCAAAAAAGGCCCACAATTGGCACCAAGTGGTTTTTGGTACTTGAATCTAAAGGGAATCTCCCTCACAAAAAGGAAAAAGGGCACCAGCGGGTGTCTGGGGTAATGCAAATCCTGGCTGATTTATTCGGGCAGGTGTGCCATTTGAGATGGAATCAGGATCACACTTGAAGAATCTCATGTTCGTCCAAGTTCGAGGTCCATGACCATCCCTATGAGTTCTCTACATGCTTGATGCCTGAATGTCATGGGACCACCAAAACAACACTTCTTTTTCAGAAATCCCTTGTCACTCTTGTTTCCCCTAGGGGGGGGCCTGCATTCGACACATTCAAGTTGTTCTGCTGGGGCACCTTTGGCCGGCCGCGCGCGAACACAAGGAATCTGAGGGCTGGCCGCAGGTTTGAGACGATTCGTGGGTGTTCTTCTCCAGGCTTGTGTTTTTCTGGGAGAACCTCTGTGGACCTCAGGATACCTCAAGTGTTGGAAGTTGCTCAGCATGTCCGTTGCCAACTTAACAGATCTTTCACCATATTGAGAGGTGTCCTTTCCAATGTATCCAGAAAATATTGCAGGCCCTATCTTAAATGTGCTAGTGGCAAGTGAGTGTGGGGACAGTTGAAGGTCTCCAAAAGGTTGAAGTCATACCAACCACACTGAGGGGGAACAACGGGCTGCCACCCTGGCAAAACTGGTTGAACAAGGACCCGCTTGGTGGCAACCACCCCCCGCTCCTTGACCATTTTGGAGGTTCCTTGAGCATTCCTGGCCAAACATGTCCTGCAACACCTCTCAGCCAGGAATGGGCACATGATTTCGATGCCCAGATTTTTCAGCCAGATGAGGGATGCTTGTTGATGATGTCCCGTATCCCGCATCAGCACGCACAGAGGCCCAGACTTTTCAGTCAGAGCTGCCAGGAGGGCCTGACCTCGGAGGCAGCGAGCCTTGCAGGCGGAATGAGAAGTTGCAAGCGCACAGAGCCCGAAGCCCACGTGTGATTTTTGTTTGGGTCCATGTGTGAGCACACGAGCACCCGCCTGATGGGTTTGGCCAGAAGCACTTTGGCACCCACGCAGTTTGCAAGTACACATTCATACGCGCGCATGGAGCAATCGCTATAGTTGTGAGCAACTTTTGCCATAGGCCTGCGACGAAATATTACTGACTTGTTTCTTTTTGGACCACAACATTGAGTGGGTCGCACACATGGCTGGACCCCTACCCTTTTTCTTTCCTTTTTTTGGGGGGGCGCTTCTCAAAGGACATCCATCTCATTGGTTATCCCAAATGTGCGGTTCAAATAATTACAAGCAGGATATAGGGCATCGGCATAGGGGCAAATTTCAGCTATATAGATTGTTGGTGTGGTTTTACTGTTGCTAGCCTTTAACTGGGCAGTAGCACACCTCCCAGGAGAGAATTTTAAGGACACCCCTGGTTGCTGGTGCCCCTGGCATGTGTTTCTTTTCCGTGTGCTTTGTTTGCAACTGACGTAGTATCGCGTCCTACATCCTATGCTTTGGCTTGCCTTCTTAGAGCCCTTTGTGCTGTTTTCTTGTGAGCTTGAGCCTCAGAATTGGGGCCGGGACTATGAAACTTGGCCAGGGAGGTTGGTTCCATGGCTCGCACAGGCCACCTGAAGCTGAACAACCTGTGCGCCCTGATCGCACTGGTCGCCTCACGTGTTCACGACATGCCAACTGCTGTCGACTTTGATCAAGAACTCTGGGCCTTCTGGACCCTGTCTCAGCTACTTGCTTGAGATGTTAAGAAAGGACAGTGAACATGACGGGGCTCCTTTTGACGTTTTCCCCTGTGTTGTGCAATTCCGATCCTTTTGCTTCTGGGTATCGCATGAGGGTGAATAACGCCCTGCTGGACTCCTAGTGGTGCGAGTACCACGAGTGCCTCCAGCCGGGTCTGTGCACCATAAATAAACCATGGCGTAGCTTGATTCAGAATGTGAAGTATCTCTCTTTGAAGTGCAGATCGCCTAGAATCATTCAGGCGCTTTGAAGGATTAGCTTCGGCGCCTTAGGATAAAGGCAGCAGTGCCGTGTTTTGTTTGTAAAGCTGCTGCCATTTACCAAGGTTCGCCAGTTCTTACCATGGTTGAAGGGCGGCAATTGGCAAAGGGAACCTTAGGTAAGGCGCGCCTTCGTGACAAACCGACGGTGCGATTTTGCTACATCTTTTGGAGCCACAGCCATATAGAATTGATTTGGTGGCTGACGGCTTGCGTGTTCTATGGAGGCCCCTGCGTTTGCTGTGCAACTCTTGGGGCACCGGTGCGGGCGGCGAACAGCACACACAAACCCACATCCACATACCATCGAAAAAACCGATGGACCCTTCGATGCATGCTTGGATGGTCTCTCGGTCCCGCGATTGTGTGGTATGATAGGTTGGTTGCTTGGTTGGGGCTTCTAGTTTCAACTTCTCATTCAGCTAGTGTCAAGGGCACACGTTGCAAAGAACCTGCGTAAGCCTAGCTCTTTCATTTTGAGCGACATCCATATGGGAGTCGGCTCCAGCATTTCACTTTTCGCTTGGCAAGGCTGGATCTGGGACAACAACCAAATTAGCATCGAGGGCAATACGGCGTGGCTTTGGCGCACCTTACTGGCCGTTGGCTTTTCAGGAGAGAGGCAACATGAGTAGGGCCTACTTGGCGCGAAGTTGGATGGTCCCTCAACTTTCTGTGTAGAACCCAAGCGCATGGGCAACTTGACCATCTGCAGATTGGATGTCTGATGGCTACCCGGTTGCTTGGATGCTTTGGACCTGGGACTTAGAAGGCCATTATTCTTTGCATATCCTGCCAGGACCTTGACAAGAGAGACAAGGTCTGCAGGCTACCATTTTGGGGCTGAAAGGGAAAGCCACTGAAATAAGTGGTTAATTTGTGGGACCCCTATTGTGAGATACGCCACGTGGAATGCAGCTGCAGGCTCATGCTGAAGCCTAGCAACCTTATCCTTCCCACAATCACTTGCTCTGAAAATTGACGAAACGGCAGGCCACGTCCATGCAGAACTTGTGGTCCACACCGAAATTTCCTTCTCTTTGATCGACGGATTCAGTTATGGGTCGTCCAGAATCCCCGCCCCCTTTTTTGAAACCCTGGCGCCATGTTGTGTCTCCTTTTTCGGCGGGTGCCGAATGTTGGCCAGCCCCCCAAAGCCCTAGTGAGCCAGCAAGTATGTAACCCACTTTGATCCAAGCCAATTTGCTGGGTAACCGGGTCGCAAGTGTTGCGTCCATATCTCCAAACGGCTGGGAGCCCTTTTTAGTTGTCCCATGTTTTTTTTTCCTAGACCCACGTAGTTATCCGTTTAAGTCAGCCTGAAAATATGTGCAATCCGAATCCAGGTGGGCCACATCGGAAGACATCCCCACCCGGTTCATCGCCTACGGCTGGAACGTCCTTCGCGTCGGCGATGCCAACGATGTGGAGGCTTCAAACAATGGCTTGTCCCACATGGTCACAAACGTGTGTGTTTCTACTTTGGGAGAGATCCGTCTCATAAAGTCTGCTAGTGGCCCAGACAAATTCCTTCCGAATCGGGTTTCCGTCCAAGTCGGCGGGGCTCTTTGGAACTTGGATTGTCACAGGCAGCCTGCGTGTCTCCTCTTCATCGCGAACATGGATGCCACGCTCCCCTGCAAACGAGGTCATGTTAGTGGGGGTGACTTGAGCCTCTCAAAGTCAGAAGAAGAAAAAGAACATAAAAGAACCAAGGATGGAAGATGAGTTTGCTTTTCTCTGGTTCCTTCCAGGGAGCAATTGCCTGCTCCAGGTCTTTGGGCCACAAATCTGCTAGCACCGCTGGCAGGCGCTCACGCGGGCCTTTCTAAGCTTCAAGAGGCAGCCGCAGCCTCGGACGCCCTCGTTTCCTTTAGAATTACTCCTTAGAACTCTTTCAACCCCCCCCCCCGCCCTCCCCCCCGGTGGATCAAATGGCGCATCCAAGCATCCAGTTCTTGTGTTCCTGAGCCAGGGCGTGGCTATCAGTTTCGGTGTCCTGGGTCGCTTGGTTCGGTGCACATGACTTGTCAGTGGCTGATCAGAGGCGCCGCAGTCCAGACAGAAATGCTGCGCAGTGACTTCCCCGAGAATCGCATCTTGAAGTAGTGATTGTGAACCAGTGTGTTCGCAACAAAGATGGTTCTGGTAGTTCAACATGGTTCTGGTAGATCATTGACATGCCCTTTCAGCACCAGGAGTCTAATGCAAGGCACGCCAACACAAGCGGATCCGAACAAACACTATGGCCTACATAGGCAGTCACGCAAAGGAAACCTCACGAAACTCCCCGAGGCAAGACCGGCCGACTTTTATCGTGGTGGACTCCCACATCGCCTGGGGCGCTCCCACAAAGCAGGAGAACACTTGGCACATGTGGAGGTTCGCTGGCCAGGGTCGCAGGTTTTATTTGGGTGCGCATGCGCGGCCAAGCTTGGGCTGGCTGGCAGAGCACCAGTTGGTGCTGTGTGGTTTCACGGCCATGCCAGCGAGCCGCCGTTTGGCAGGTGTCAGCGGCATGCTCATGCCCAAACGATGGATGCAATCAGGTATCCCTTCCGCTGATTTTTGTAGGGGTGGATTCCCTATAACCATCGTTCTTTTCAAAAGCCAGCGGTTTCCCCAGGGGTTTGGGTGGTTTTCTAGAAAGAAGGATGCCTGACACGCCTTAGACAATGGAGCTTGCTGGTAGCCCAGCAGCACCTTCCCAAAGGCAAAAAGGAAGGGGCAGCATGTGAGAAAACGACGGCATGGCTTTCCGGGCTTTGACCTTCGGGGGTTTAAGGGAAGCCAACAAGTGTTCCCGGCCCTGGCTTTGTGGATGCTCTCTTTGGATTTCAGGACTCCTTCCATGCCCATGGCACTCCGCTGGGTGACAAAGAGGTCACTGCAGGGCACCCAGTGCCAACGAAACTTACAAACAAACCGGCAGTGATCCAACGTTCTGGTCAGGTGAAGGTGTCATCGTACCCCTCAAAAAGCGTCCAAGTTGTTGACATGATCAGGTCTGTGTCCCACGTGTCCTTGCACAGGGGTCAATAGGATAGGGTTGGTTTCCCTCAGTTTCCTTGTAACGGCGTTGCACCCAGGCCACGAAGCACATCTACAACTGGCCGGATGAGAAGTTCCTGGCCCGTTGCTCAGAGGTTGCGTAGGAAACGACCCGGTTCAGCATCGGTCGGGTGAAGTGATGTCAGGCACCCCGGTTTAACGGCAAGTGACGGGTTGGCGCGCATCAGCTGAGACCTTCGCTGTTGATTCGCTCCAAGACCTGGGCTTCCTTGCTGGAGGTTTTCCTGACAGTCATTTGTACATATCCGCTCAGGTCCCTGCAGAGGTGAAGACGCATTTCCGCGGCTCGGGCAGAAGGGCTGAATCGGCCCGGGTTGATATCGTGGAGCCCCAGAATTGACTCCAAAAACGGTGCCCTCAGAAGGACACCGACGATGTCTTCAGTGGGTGGAGACAGGGGGATAAAGTAGTTTGGTTCACTGAAATGTCTGAGTTTGAAGCCATTCGCCCTGCCAACTTGGTTCAGAGATTCGTGGATTCGCGGTTTGCGCTTTGGTCCCCTTTTCCGAAAAGAAAAGGGACAGAACAACACTGTCTCAGAAACAAGCTCCAGCAAAAATCTCGCTCAAGTCTGCTTAGACACGTGTCTCTTTTTGGGGAGGGTTCGTTCCCCTACTAAAATAGACTACATAAAAAAAGACAGGGTACCCTTATTCTAACCTCTCAAATCTGGAGGACCTAGACACTCATCACAAACCAGGGATTTGGCATCCTCGACTCAGGAGATCAGCTGCTCCGGCGCGGAGGGGCGCTTCGGAAGGAGCAAGGGGGCTGATGTAGTGTGGCTGGTGTCCCATACACCCTGCCTGTTTGGATGTCGTGGGTGATGCGTAGATCATGTGCCTTTGTGTTTGGTCAGTTTATTTTTTGACGTAGGAAGGGCCACTTTGTGAGCATTTCATTGTTTCCCACCCGCTTCATCCCACCAGTGTCTCCGCCCCAATCGAGTGCTCAAAGGTAAATACTCGGATTGGTGATTGGTATTGCTTGTGCGTGCCGCATTCGCACATCGACTTTGTTCACGTGACAGTCGCAGTTTTCTTTGGACCTTTTCATAGCAACCTCCGGCGCAGGCAATCTGGATGAGGCATGGCCGATTGCCACGGTGTGCCAGGATTGGGATGCCACCTTCAAGCGGTACATGGCGGAATACCCCAAAGAGGTGCACGGCAGTCAAGTGGGATCACAGCGGGTTCGAGGTGTTGTGCCAATAATGTGGCTGTGAATTCTAATAGGGAAACTCTGAAAATGATTGTAGATTCTCGCCCCATATCCCAGCAGAGGCCAGATAGCAGAATTAGATTCAGAAGTCATTGTGTGATTTGGCGCTATGCTTGAGAGCGGTGTTGCGAGCAGTCGGGAAGGCTTGCGTACACGATTCGTGCGAACTTCCACGGAAGGCAAACAGCTCGCACACGCTTTCTGGATCTTTCCAGCTCAGCCTTTCTTGCACCAAGACCCCCGATCCCCTATCCTGAGGCTCAAACGAACACAGCCATCTCCCAGCGCTTTGTCCAAGCAGCCAGGCAGTATCGAGAGCAGTCCACAGCAGTGGATCGTCAGGGGCATTTGTAGGTTTCGGAGATCAATTCTACCTTCGCGGAGGTATTCTTTTGAAACATTTGCAAGGCCGCGCCTTACTTCGAGTTTTGTTTAGAATGGTTGGTTCTTGCATGACAACTATGATCAGCAACAAGATATTTGTTCCTTCAGGGACTCCCTTCTCCCAGTACCTTACTTTGCCACATTGCGACATGTCACAGCCTGTGCCCTGCACAGGGGAAGATGCTGCAGGACATGATTGCTGGTTCGTTGCCAGAGGCCAGTCAACCGCGGTCCCTACATTCAACGTGCATGCGGCTTCATGCAAGCGTCCACTTTGTTTGCATATGATTGGTATGAATCTTGAAGCAGACGTCCCAAACGCAAACGATGGCTGACACGGGTTGTTTGGCATCGAGCTTGCACGTTTGCAGTCACTCGACTTTGCTGACCACGCGTGTGTGTGTGTGTGTGAAATTTGGGCAAACTCAATGCTCAAAGCAAATCAACGAGACATGTCACCCAGTGGGACAGTTCGATGCACCCCATGCGCCTGTGACCCCGAATCAACCGGATCGCACGTTCGCCTCGCGGCCAGGGCTGGGATCAATTTTGCAAGGAGTTCCCGGCTGCTGCTTGGCCGAGAAAGTGGAACTATAAGGACTCCTTCTTAGGGGAACCACGACCGTGGCCGTAGCATGGCGTAGCGCCAACACGTTGCTCAGGATGCCAAGGGCTTAGCGACGAGGCAATCCTCCAGCGAGTGTCTCAACTTCATGGGCAAAGGCTGGGATCGACCCTCGTGACAGCTGGGACATGGGGCGAGAGCTGGCGGTTGTATGAACAACCCGACGAAGTTTAGAGGCCGCTGGTCGCCTGGAAGCCATCAAAGCAAGCGCAACCGCGTACAACTGGGGTCGTGTGGGTGGGTGTGAGGGTTTGGTGGGTGGGGGGCATGATGACATACATTTTGCATGCGTGCTCTGGCTCTGCTGGAGCATCCACAGATAGCTTTGCTGCTTTCCTATGGATTCCTAGTTTTCATTTTACACCCTGCAGACAGGCAAGACCCAATCTGCCAGATTCGTTCAGACTGCAGCAGCTGACTGCCAAGTGAATGTTGCAGTTGCTCGTTTTGAGCTGCAATTATCTCTGCCGTGTCTTGCTTCGGAATCCTTGGAATCCTGCAGAAGTTCTCAATGAACAGCTCTGTGCAAGGCATCCCTTGAACCACAAACTCATCTTGTCCGAAGGTGTTTTGGGGCGGAAGGCAAAATGCATGCGTCAAAATAAGAGGACCCCCAAACTGGCAGCTTGCCTTTTGGTTTCCGGTTCCACTTGACCCAAGCCAACCAAAAACCACCGGAGCCCCGGGGCCCTGGACCGGACACTCCCCACGCCCACGGGCCGCGAGGCGTGCCTTGGCTGCTGGGCGGCTCCGCGGACTTGGCCACCTCCTGCCTCACCACGCCGCACGCCCGGGCTGAAGGGAGCGGGGGGAGAGGGAGCGGGGAGCGGGGAGCGGATGTCCGGATGGATGGCTCAGATTGATGAGACACTGAGACACTGTTGATTGAAGCTGTGGCAAAAAACCCGCCAAAAAAAATAATAATTAGGCTCAGGTGATATGCCCAACAGCATGCGGTGCTCGTTTTAGTGCTCGCACCACCCCGCAGTCCTCGCAGAACCTCGTGGAACCCTGATAAAACCCTCATGGAACCCTCGTGGAACCTTACCTCAGGGCCGCCCCGGACCACCCCGGAGCCTATCTGGGCTGAGAACCCCAAAGCTTTCAGCTGTCGGGGAATAAAGAGGAAACAATATGAAGAAAATATATTAGAGATAGCAGGGTTGGTGTGAGGCCAAAAAGTATAACATGGGTTCCTAAAAAGGGCGCACCCACGTTTCACATCATGATTTGACCAGTTCGCCAAGCAGGAAACATAGGGAACCTTGTCGGGCATGACCCGGGCCACCATAGGCCATGGAGGAGGGGGGAGGAGGGCGCAAACTACTGCGCCAGACTTTGTCGTCCACGCAGTCGCAAGAATCCGCTCAAAAGTCCCCTCCCTCAAGCAAACCACTAGGCAACCAACAAAAATATGTCCCACCCCCTCCCCAGGGGGAGTGGAAGCTGTGTCACGTCCAACCCAGGCTGAAGGGTATGGAGGACTTCCTACCGCCGGAGAGCCAGCGACTTGTCAGCTGCGATTTCCATCGACTGGACGCACCCCAACGGAAACGCCAGAAACGCTCAGCCCAGAAACCGCAGTGTTGGCATCTCCTCGGCGAGTTGTTGCCTTGATTGAGCACAGCCTCTTTTGTGGAAGGTTGATCGAATCATAGTCTTTGTGTGCCCTGTGTGATTGGATGCTTTGCCAACTGGACGAATATTATCCATCTAAATTTGGTTGTGAAAGGGTTGCTGAAAGACAGGGTCCACCAAGCCCAACTGGTGGGTGCTGCACACACACACATACCTGAGACTTTCTTCTTCTTTTTTTTTTGGGGGGGGGTTGAACTTGAGTGACCGCCTACGAATCATAAGAGCCAACAGACGACCTTGCATTGGGATGGCTGGCTCACTTGTGAGCGGTATCCTTCAGATCCCCAGCTGATGTGGTATGGCCACCTTGAGTGAAAGACCCGCCCGGAAAGGTTCCTTGGAGGGTTCCTGGTTGGACCGGTAGATTGAATTTCCATTAGGGGAGCCGGACCTTCCGCTTTGTTCTGAGCTGCACTGCGGACGGTTTCATGGGCTGCCTTGCAAGCTTCCTCCGCGGCTTTGCTCTTCTGAGGGCGGGTGATGCAATTTCGGGTTTGGGCCAATGTAGCGAATTCAAAGTGCCAAAGTCGAGCAGAGGCACGGGTCCAGAGGTTTCACAGGTCGCGGTAAGAGGTCGTTGGGTGAGCACAGCCTTCCGTGTTGCCGTGCTGAGGTGGGGTCAGTTTGCTGGCCGCAACCTGCCTGAAATGAAGCTCGCGCAACAACACATGCTTCTTCGTTGGCGGTGCAGCAGATGTGCATTCAGAAGTAGGATGATGTATTGCGTATGTAAATGCATCCAACATGTGCATGCAAGTGCATCAATGCATACAGAATCTGAGCATGCACATGTGAGGAAATAGCTGGCAGCTGCACGCGCTTTGTGTTCATTGTGATTGGCTTGTCAGGCGGCTGACCTTGCGCTTAAAGTGAGACGACGCAGTTGGGTCTCTAAGTACGTACTGCAATAAAGCACTACACTGCATGGTACATTACCAGGTTTCCCTTATAGATTACCAGGTTTCCCTTATGCCCCACTTGGACAGCAATGGCATCAGCATAGTACTTTGGACGAATGAACGCGCATCAAGGGGCTTCGACTAATGAGACTCATACCGACGGCCATAGTATGTGTTTGTGTACGATAGATAGGGGGTGTCGTTTAATGTTGCATGGCCCGTGTCATCAGATAGAGCTGTTTGCACCTGAGATTTCTCGCAGTAGCAGAAAGCAAGAGCCTCGTCGCATGTATATCAGTGCTGACATGGAGGAAAACCCAGAGGTAGGACACGTGGCGGTGTTCCCTGCTGTTAACCTGGAGCCAATGTCAACCCTATGTCGACCTTGTTGCTTGTTCACTCCTTCCGCGTACCACCACCAGTCCATTGCCTGGCCCTGTTCCTCGAGCGAAGGGGATCCGCGTGCTGCTGGGCCTTGAGGCAACCTGCACTTTGGCATCAGGGAGCACGCCATGGGCTCCATTATGAACGGCCTGGCCCTGTGCAAGCTGCGCCCCTTCGGGTCAACCTTCCTAGCACCTCGGGCACGCCATGGCACGCCCGAGTCGGCCTGGGCCATCATGTTATTTAACCCTTCTTCGTAAACCGGTCGACCCACTCCTTGGACTCTCTGTTGGGGGTCGTTGTTAAACACGGAATGTGTGTCTGATAATTTCCCGTGGTACCCGTAACATACCATTTTGCAGCATGAATGAGGAGATGTACTGGGGATGAGTGGGGATGAGCCCTGAGAGATGGAGAGAGCTGAACATATCAAAGCGGTGGCCTTGGCGTTGCTTCAATCTCAACACTGCGAGCTCTTGGTGATTCGGGTGATTCTGCGTGCCACTTCGAAGCCCCCAAGTATTGCTGGAAACACACCAACCGCCTATGGTTGTCAAACTCGCGTCAAATCTTGGATTGAACTCGAACGCAACAATCGTGCCCCAAGAATCAGACAGATTGGCAGCTCCTTTGGGACGCTGACACGTGCTTTCTCCTGGCCGGAGTTTGCTGCATAGTGCTAGATAAGACCGGAAACACACTCTCAGAGGTATTTTAGGATGAATGATGGTCAGTTCTGCATCCTCAAGCCGTGTTCCATGCTTGTGTATGACATACCGCTGAGGTGTTCAGCGACTACATGCGGCCGCCGATCCGGTTGAGTGCCATCATGGAGACTCCCTGCATATTCATTTTCACCCACGACTCTATAGGCGGGGTTGAAAGCTCGACTTGTTTGGTGCTTGGCCTGACGTAGCTCCGGTTGACTTCGATTGTTTCCCGAGGTAGTGCAACCGCATGTTCATGATTTTGTGCGGCACTCTGACGATGTTAGGCTTGGTTTACTTGCACCACTACAGCAATAAGGGGGCCCCCATACTTAAAGCAGAAAAGATGAGGATGCACAGGGGTCAATTGCAAGCACGACAAGCACGGGATGTTTACAAGGAGGACCCAAAGTCATGTGGCTCAACAGTGCGGGGGTTGAGATGTTCCTGAAACCAACTCTGTTGGCAAAGTAAAAAGAAAGGAGCATGGAGCACGCAGTACGTTGCCATGGCTCGAACTAGGCTGCGATTCTTAGGCTGAATGAGGAGCACAATCGAAGCAACTGGCCAGCATACGGATCTGTTTGCTTCTTATATTTTGCTATGGTCAAAGAAAGCATTTACTGATGATACCATTCTGAGCCAAATGAATCATTTTCAATGCCCAGAAACAAATCCTCCTCCCCCCAATTAACATGGAACCTGACATTCGGGACCCGCTCCCTTTGAAAGGACAACGGTCCAAACCAGGACTCCCCGAAACGTCGAACGGTTCCGCGTCAATCGGCGGGAGGGAAGATGGACTCCAGCTGAGCCGCAATCAAAACCCGGGTAGATGAAGGTTAGTAAGGGTCCCAGCCATAAATAGTTGCGGCCGCCTTTGTATTTCCTTGCTTGGTTCTGGGTCAACCATTCTACTTGACTGCTATTGGGTAGGATCTTTAGACTTCAACTTTTTGGGAAATCAAGGCGTTTTCCACTAAACCCCCAAAAAGTTTCAACTTTTTGCAGGGGGGTCAACAGCAACCAAGTCTAATACCGGGTTTTGAGCAAGTGACTCAGCTGTCCCTCGCAGGTGTCGGGGAGGATGGCCCCACCCATCAGCCGGTGGAGCACTTGGGCTCCTTGCGGTCCATCCCGGGCCTGACTGTCTTCCGACCCTGCGCGCCTTGCCCGAAAAGATCCACCGGCATTCGAATGCATGCCGAAAAAGAGGGAGGTTTGAGTAGGGGAAAGGTGTTCCACCTTGGTGCTTGAAGTCTGGTGTCATCTGGTGTCTCGGATTGCTTGTTCCTTTGGCTTCTGAGCGAATGTGCCTTGGGCTCAGCACTTGCGAACTGCTCGGAGCATGTTGTGCCCGTGCCGAGAAACAACACCAACATGAGTCAGGGACTCTGAGCAGTCTTTTGGCAGACCTTGGTTCGCGGCATGTCGGCCTTCGAAACCGGCAGGATGCCAACGAGTGCCTGGAAATGTGGAGGTACATCATGCCGCTGAAGGACGTGTGTGGGTCGCACGTCGGACACGTGGAAAGTAGACAGGAAGGCAATGAGGCTTCGGAGTTGTCCCGATAGGCTGTAACATGATGTGACATGTGCTCTGCGTGAAAGACCAGAGGCAAGACTACGGCAAAAGGCACAAGCCATGCTCTTCGGAAAAGGCACAAGCCATGCCACGCTTTTCAGAGTACAAGAGGAAGCGGTAGCACCTTCATACTGCTTGAGGTTGCAGGTGAATGGAAGCTTCCGCCATAACACGAGCGCACGACTGTTGTCAATCGATCAGTACATCCGGCTCTACCTTGGATGGCCCCAGTAACACTGATTGTAGGACTCATGGAGGTACCCTGATTGAAAAAGAAAGCTGTGATTGGAAAGTTCAATGTCAATGCAGTGCTGGTCTTCGTTGTGGTTTTGTAGTCTCAGCGTTTTGGCCGAATACTACCACTTCAAAGCAATGTCATCTAGGGGTGAATGTACGTGCCAGCAGCAACTGTGGGTTCCGGAGTCATTCGGAGTCACATGGCTGCTCCGGGCAACTACTGCGGCGGCCAATCTCATCTCAAGCAAAAGTCTTTGCTGGTTACTGCTCTTGTTTGAATAGGGCACCCTACAACAGGCGTGGAAGTGGACAAGACTCCAAATGAAAGGCACGATTGTTTTCTGAAATGCCCTTGTCAGGATTCATGATGGAAGTAGCTTAGCGAGTTTCAACCGGAGTTGTTCTTACTGACCAAGAACCATTCTTGGCAAGGTGTAACGTAAGTTGCAAAACCTGAACTTTTCAGTGATACTGGCAGTTAGCTAAGTGGCAAGCAACCCCCTTTTGACTCTCGAGTAAATCCTATTGCACACCCTGGCAACAATGGCTACTAGCCACTATCCCAGTACCAGCAGAACCATGATTGTGGAGTTATCGTATTGCAGGACGGGCCCATTTTCCACAAACCATGAACAGAATTGTGCGAGAGACCTGTGCGCCAGTATCCCAGTACCTTCACACTTCTGCAACATGATCACAACTGTTTGTTCAAGCCTCCTTTTTGGTTTAGACCCCCTCCTTTTTGGTGTGTTTGTAGATTCGCATTTTTGGGGATTGGGGACGTTTGGGGGCAACGACTGGAATTTGATTCGCCAGGACCAGCCAGTGATCATCGTCTTGTCCCGACAGGCGCTCCCCACGCTGGACAGGACCAAGTTCGCCTCCGCGAAAGGCGTGCACAAGGCGAGCGGAACTCGTTGCACGGGGGCGACGAGGCGGCCGAGTCGGGGGCTTGGTGCCACAAAATGGCCGGGAGGCTTGGGACCAACTCCAGGGATCAATATGAAGGTGTCCTTTGAGGGAAACCTTCCTCTGAAAGTTTTGAAGGATCCTTGAAGTTGGTCTTTGATTTTGAGGTTGGGATGGGGGTTGATGGGACCCAGCTCAAAGTTTTTTGGGTCACTTGGTCGAGCATAGATGGCTTCTGCTGGTTTCAGTTTGGTGGTAATCATTCAATGGGACCCACCGGTGTTGCTAGAAGGGCACCTAGAGGCAGCCCCCCTGTCAGTTGATCAGGGTCTTGTTAGATTGGTGTATCATGAATCAACCCTTGGAAAGACAGAGTTCGGACAACCAGGAGATGCCAGAAACGGACGAGATTTGACGTGGGGGGGGGGAATTTTCAGTGGATTCTGCGAAGATGTGATGCCAATCAAGTTTTCCGATGTAACCAGGCTGCGAAGAGGATCGTTCGCAGCCCGTGCATTGTACAAGTCATGGCTTTGCAAGTGTTGACAAGTGTCTGGTGTGATTGACCCTTGGATTGTGTCTTCGTAAACACATCAAAAAGCTTGCAACAAGCTACCTGCATGCCACAGGACATTCCCTCTACCCGACGAGGCCATTCGGAAGGCAGCGAATTCATTTTGGGACCATGTCATGGCTGGGAGCATGGCAAGTCGGTCGGGCCGGCGCGAGCCGCAGGGTGGATACATCCTAGCAGATGCGCAGCTCGGCGATGCGCTGGCAAAGGAGGGTCTCCCGTCAGGGGCCTTTAGGCTTTGGTCTGTAAATGTTGTCTGCAGAAAAAATGGGCTTATGTGGAGTGGACTACGTGGAACTAGTTCTGATTATGTTCCTGGTATCGACGTGTTTGGTCGCGCTCGGACAGAGCAAAAATACATAGAATGCCGAATCATGACGGGCGATCACGAGTTGTGCTATTTCCATTTGGCTTCGTCAAGAGGATGGCACGCGAACGTCATGGGACAGGTGGTTTGCTGAACCTGGTTAAAAAAAGGTGTCGCTTTGGTTTGTCCTGTGCCAACATGTCAGTGTACCTGGCCGGAAACAGTGTTTTGCAGAACTCGCGTGCCTAGCAGATAGGCAGACAAACAACAACTCAAATGTTTGACAGAGCTACTGACATGAGAGGATTTGAGAAAAGGGATCAGGCAACAAACATGAATCGTCTGAATGTTAGCTGAAATGGGGAGAGGCTGACACACTTGCCTGGGCAACTTAAGGTGCTGCTTTTGTAAGACCGCAGCCAATCAGCACCCTGTTGGCAAGCGTGTATACATATCGTGAGTGCGAAGTCCCGGTGTGCATGTGCCTGAGCTGCTCCATTTTAAGTCAATAATCAAGAAGCAGATGGCAGGCCCAATTCAAGTCTTATCAGCACCGACTGAAACGGACGGGGCTGCTGAGGTTTACAAATGGCGCAACACCGGATCTCATCTTGATGGCCACAGGCGCCTGAGAGCCAGTGGTTGCTTTTGAATTTTGGATTTGACCTCGCCTTTTCGGCTATGACTCTAAGACTCTGTTCCCACTGACTAGCAACAGTTTGACCTGATAAAGGCCGAGATGGTGTCTCCGTATGTCTCCGCGGAAACTTCACATGCGCCTTCAGTCAATTCCAACCTTTTGAGACATGGCCGTGGGTCAACACCCTGTACCCCTGGTGCACATCAAAATAGGTGGCAAATGGATGTTCATCCGCTCCAAAATGGAGCCATAGGTTATGACCCATGGCCACATATTTCCGCGATTTACGCCAGGCAGCGAGGTGCACCTCATGACCCAGGCCCATGATGCCCTGGCGGCCAGCGGCGTCAAAGTGAGGCGTGGGGAAATGACATGGAAAAAAACACACGGCCACTCCGCCAGCCAACAGAACCAGGAAACAAGCAGTTTGTGCTCAAATGAACAAGTTCGTTAGTTTTAGTATTGTTGGTTTTGAACGGAATCTATCGCCGCTACAAATATTGTTGACGGGGGTTCCCAATGAAATGAAGAATCGCAAGACAGGTTCCTTTCTTGTAGTATGATAAATGAGTGTTTGGGTCTAGGAGTCTAGGAGCGAAGAAGTCGCTCTTATGGATTGAAACCCAGATTTGTCAGGCTGGTTGTTAAGATGTCGCCAAAAGCAGATATCGTCAGTGTCGTTCATCCTTAAAACATACTTTGCACCGGACATAGAGGGAGTTCACCCAATGGTTTACGTCCACATGCATACATACTATGATATATGTATATATTCTACCTCCCTTGATTAATCTAGCTTTTTGCTGTTTGAAGGCTATTTCGGAGATGGAATGCAGTTGTTTTATTTGGAATGCCCCATGCGACTTGACCAGCATCAGCTCACCCTAAGCAAGGAAATCCTGTTCAAAAACTATTGTGGAATAACAATTCCAATTATGTGTTGTGTTGCAAAGGAAATCCTATTTAACTTATCTTTAAAGTCAGAAATTCTATTAGAATTATGTCCTTGTTAGATTCCATTCAATTCTAAATAGAGAGTGGAGAAACAATTTCCCGGGAAAGGACGTTCTCCTTAAAATACATTGTGAAATAAGAATCCCAATTATCAATGCTCTTCACAATGGAAGTCCTTTTCAAATCATCTTTAATTCTAGAAAATATGTATTGCGTGTTGTTAACTGTTGATTCCATTTAAATAATAATTGGAAAATTGAACAAATCATATTGGAAAGCAACATCCTTTTGAACATCTTTTTTTTTAGGTCTTTTAGGCACACCCGTGTAAATATCTTTAGAACTAGAAATTCTAATGGAATTATGCCTTTGTAAAATTCGATTGACACTATTCCAAAACATCAACCCGTTTGAACATCTAGTTTCAAATAAGAATGTTGATTGCAATTCTTGTTCGACCAGGAAATCCTATTTAAATGATTTTTAAACTAGAAAGAGAGTGAGAGAGAGGAGCCCCTAACCCTTGCTTCCCTCCCGGCATCTCAGGGTGACAAAAGCCACCCTCCACTTGTATCTTTAAACTAGAAACTCTTGCTGGGGTTTGTTCCTTATTAAACTCCATGTCAATTCTAGTTAGAAAATTGAACAAACACAATGCTAAAAAAGATCCCCTTTAAAATGATCTTTCAAGTTTATTTTGACACAATAGTTCTAATTGACTTGGCATATGTATATATATATATAATGTGTATTTTATCGTTATCGAATGCTTTGAATTCCAAGCAAAACACAATGAAACACAGTGAGTTTATTTGAACAAAAAGTCAGAAGATGCAAAACAGCAGCTATGTTGGAGCCAATGGCCCAAGAGTGAAACCTTGTTACTTTTTTATGAGAAAAAAAACATATTATGGAGCTATTAGCCCAACAGTAAAGCGTAAAGTTCTGGAGCCAATGACCCACAAGTCAATAGGGTATTTTTTGGAGCTAGAGACCCAAAAGGAGCCAAACGTGGAAAAAAACAAAAGTAAAACAAGCACAAAAGATGTATAAAAAAAAAAAACTGCAAAGAAGTAAAAGTTGGAAACAAACGTGAAACAATTCAGCCCATGGTCCTGAAGTAAAATGCTTTGACCATGCACTGCAACAGTTTGTTTTAACGTGTTTCTGATTATTTTTTACTTTCACTTTTTCGCTGTGTTTTCTTATTTTGTACTTTTGGGTCATTGGCTCCAGAAATTGACTTTCTATTTTTTTTACTGTTGGGTCATTGGCTGCAGATGTGTTTCTTTTTTGCTTGTTTACTTTGGTGTCGTTTTCACTTATGGGCCAATGGCTCCAGCATAGCTCGTGTTTTGCATGTTCTGGCAAAACCTCAGAATAGAAATGGGAAAGAGGTAGATTCAAATTGGAGACAATATTCCCTAGAAAAACTTGGCCTAAAGCTTTCAGATTGTCTTTGGACCAGCGCCCTTTTTGCTGCTTTCCCCAGAGCTCCGGAAAAAAGAAGAAAAAAGAAGAAGCAGAAAACACTGCACATACCAGTGATTTCCAAAGGAAGGTAGATCCATGGGAGGGGGTACCATATATATGTATATATATGCATATATTCGTGTGTTGCCAATAATTGCGTGCAGGATTTCTTTCCGAAGTACCGCTTCAGCTTCATTGTTGGCACCCCTCGTCAAGAAGTGGAGGTCGCACAAGCACACTTGCTGAGTGTGTGTGTGTGATATGGCGCATAGGTTTTACTGCAGCCCATAAACCAAACAAGAGGAACAAGTGGATTTAGACCACCATCTTTCAAGGCGCCTTGCCTCACGCCAGACTTTCAGACTTCAGACTTCCGAGGTCCGTGAGCATGCCCTCCATGGAGATCTTCAAGCAGCAGCCGCAGGAGTACATCGACAGTGCTGCTCGGCTTTTTTCAGAATGGAGCAGGTTTTATCCACGTCCACAACAGGAAGCCTGCAATTCCTTCCTGTACCCAATGTTCCACTTGTGCTGCACGAAAACTTGTGCCCCACGCAAAAGACGAATGGAGTTCCACAAGCACGTAACATTTAAAGTGAGAGTTGAAGCGATTCCCTGGTAAGCCTAGATGGGCCATCTATGCAGACAATGGCTTGCTCTTGGTTCTTGCAGTTGGCATGGAAATGTGGGCGTGAGCTTTCGCGCTCGCCGAAGCGTTTGTTCAGGTTCTGCCCAACTCATGCCGAGCAAGAGTGTCCATTGAAGCAAGTCGTCGAGACTCCTGGGGCGGCGAACTTAGCCGAACGTGCTGCTTGTTTCTGTGCAAATGAGCATATATGTATGTTTCATTGCAGGGGTTCTCTACGTCCGCTTTGTTTTTTATTTGATGGAACACAACGGATTTGTCAGAATTGAAGCGCTGTGACTAAGCTGAAAGTACTCACAAGCAGTACAGTCATTCTCCCGCTCGATCTGACTCGATGGCAGATTGCCTGACTGCCTCATGATTTGCGACCGAACAATCACTTGGCCAGCTCAAATCGAGATCCGTATGAGTGTAGAATACACGGGACAAATCACAAACAATCATAAGCGGCACCATTTGTTCGGCCATTTGTTCGGCGCAACTCTAATTCTGTCATGACCCAATCAACGTGACCGTAATAGTATGTTATTTCTGTGTTTTGGCACTCGCTTGTTCATCGGTGTGTGTGTGTGTTGCTTGCAAGAGAGAGAGCATCATGCAAGCTTTTGTTGTGTATGAGTCGTGGGGCGCTTTTTCAACCGCACAAGCTGAAGGCGGCTTCATCGGCTTAGACGGGGAGCACGCCGCTGGGTTCGCAATGGGCAGAGGGCCGAAGGATTCCCGTGCGAATCCCTTGTCAGTTTTGGTCTGCCGTTGGGTCGCATAGCTTTATCGACGCTCGAGGATCCCTTATTTCAGGTCGGTTTCCCGACCGTATGCCTGCTGTTGATTGATTGCATGCCCTGTTGAAGTTGGTCTGCTAAGCTCGCCGCAGAATCTGCGAGTTTAGCCGAATGCCCTGTGCTACCCGAGCATACGCATACGCGTGGACAGGTGAACATTCGAGTTGTCACTGCCATGTGAGGAAGGATTGAATTGCCAGCTGCTTGCGGCTTACTGATTAGTCGAGCAGATATTGCTAGTGTCTCATGCCCCCTGAGTCTCTAGCTCTATTGCATTTGACAGCTAGGTGTGACGAGAAGCCAATGCCGCTTGCATCAGGGCACGGGACGTGAATCTCCGGAAAGGGATGTGCCTCTGACCACTGGCGCGAAAAACGTGGACGGCCTGAGGTTGGCATGATCACCTTCGGAGCCTCTGGGCCCATCAAGAAAGTCCAGGCAGAGAAGGGCTTCACTGTGGACGCCGTGGTGGCAGCTGCCAGGCGAGAGCTCTCTCGCCGTGTTTGACGGTTGGATCATTCGACCGGCGGCGGCAGCATGATAATACAAAGGATGATGCTACAATGGTACAACAAACAATCATGCTAATCATGATTCCGATTCCATATTTGCCTTGTGCCTTTGCTTTCCCTGATAGTTGTGGACATGTTTCTGATTGTCTTACTTCTGCTGTTGTGGGAGGTCGTGATGGTGGTAGCTGATGCGGAGAATTGGGCATTGTCATTCAACAGTTGATACTAGACCGGAAAGAGGCTAGGCATGTTGCTCAAGCGCGAAAGACTTAGGATTCTTATTGATGACTTAGCCATGAAGGCTCAGAAGAAGATGGAAGCTGTTGCCAAGCAAAGCTTGGATTGGCGTCCTTGGCTAGGGGGAGGCCAGATCCAAGACAATGGCACAGCACTTGCGCGGAGTATGTACTTTGCAGTTGCGCGGTTGACTTCGCTAACTTGTGCTCACCAACAAGCAAATTTAAGTGAGAGCAAAACCGTACGTTGCCATGGAAGATGGATTGTTCGAGGCAGTCTCAAAGTCTAATCATTGCATACCTGTCCTCCTTTGTGCTTGTCCGCTGCTGTTGCTTATTCGACTCTGGAGCTGCCGGCATTTTTGCTGGCTAGCAAAGTGGATCGTCCGCCTTGGAAATGTGCCCCACAAAGGATATTGGCCGTCCCAGCAGTAACGTTCTTGGACTCATTGTACTTGCAAGTGTACCCTTACTATTTGTAGACATCGGGTATAGTCGGCATTCCTTAGGCAGATGTTCTTTTCCATGGGGCCATCCACGAGCCCGCTGGCGAATGTATGCACGGTTCAATTGAGCAGCTCAATGATTCGCCACTAGGGGATGAGCTTAATCTATTTGGCGTCACGGGCTCATTCATTGAGCTGCATGAATGCTTACGAGGGTGGGCAAGAAAAATACTCGCATACCTTTCGCGAAACAGCAGGCCCCAATGGCGCTTTCCATATGGGAGGCCACAAGGGTACCTATTTTTGGAGGTCTGTTTGGATTAAAGGGAAACTAAAGGACACCACCCATCTTGGGAAAATCCTATTTAAAGACATGCCCATGTAATGCATGATATACGCGTGATCGCCTTTTCTTTTCGTTTTTTTTTTTTGGGGGGGGGTTTTAGCAAGCGCCTGCTTGCTCAGGCGGGTGATGAGTGGCGCCCCCCGGCAGATCTCTTCAAGGGCAGAGGTGCTCACGTCCTGGAAGAAGCGGAAGCTGAGCGTGCGCTGAGTCGGTTGGTGTTCCCCCGGATTTGGAGACACCGAGACCATGTTTTGCTCAAGCGTGGGATCCTCTGACAACAATCCAGAGGTTGGACCAGGGATCATCCTGCGCCAGCTGGGAAGCTAGCCATGCCTGTGAGTCAACAACCAGAGGACCCCATGCCGCTTTTTTAGTTATAGTCCAAAGGCATCGCAATCTTGTTCAAGCCTACTCTTGTCACAGCGTTTGGACTTGGAGGTTAGCGTTTCGTCAGCGCCTCTGCGCTGGGAAGATATATCTTGTACTCTTGAGCCTGGCCAATTCTTGCGGAATAGCGCGAGCATTCGCGAAGAACAAGCGCCGTCAAAGAACGTGCACTTCCGGTTTGCTTGCCCCGGCAAGCAGGGATGGCCTTTTGACCATCAGTGCACAACGCGCGGCTTTTCCGGAGAAGTGCCAGGAAGCAGCAGAAAATCTGGTTGAGAGAATTGCGTGATGCTGCTGGCAAATTCAGTTTGCAAGCCGCTGCCCCACAGCAGTTTCTTTTGGATCACAGCTCGCTCAGAGGTTCTCCCTCATCATGGCTCCTCGCAGCTCCATGTTGGCCGCTGCCGGCATTGCGGCTGGTGGGTACATGGCTGCGCAGGCCTTTGTGCCTGGTGTCGCGGGGCCTGCGGTGAGCAACGAAGCAGGGGCAAGCCTGCGCGGAGCCGCAGCGGCCCCAGCACCTCAGGGCTCCGGTAGCGTGCTGCCTTTGATGGGCCTCGTCGGAGTGGGAGCCGTGGCTGCAGGGCGCGCAGGACGCATGGCCCGACGGGCAGAGCCTGTGTCCGCCGCTGCAGCAGCAGCTGCCGCCAAGGCAGGGGCGGCCGCCGCTGCCAAGGGTGCCGCCGCTGCCAAAGGTGCAACTGCAACCACTTCCGCCGTTGCCGGCTCTGCTGGCGCCGGATCCCTCTCCAAGGGCGACGGTGTTGCAGGCAAGGGCAGCGGCAGCCCCTCCTTTGATCCCTCCACCCAGATTGGTGCCATGGATCCTCTCGGCTTTTTCGACCCCGCCGGCTTCTGCAAGAAGGGCGATGAGGCCGGCTTCCGCAACTTCCGTGCCGCTGAGATCAAGCACCTTGGCGTTTCCCAGCCATACCCGTAGACTTAATATGTTCAGCACTTAGTGGGATTTACTACGTATCTCACTAAAGTTGTTTTCTTTCCGCAGGGGATCAACAAACTACGAAGGCACGGCCGTGTGGCTATGATGGCAGCACTGGGTGCAGTTGCGCAGCACTACATCAAGTTCCCTGGCTTCGAGTCCGTGCCTTCCGGCCTTGCTGCTTCCATCACTGCGCCCGGCAGCTATGGCTTCGTGGCCCTCTTCGGCCTGAGCGGCATCCTCGAGTTGGCTGCTTGGACCGAGAGCGATGACAAGGAGCCGGGCAACTTCGGCGACCCGCTGGGCCTGAACCAGTACAACCAGGAGATGCGCGAACCCTGGGCTGCAGAAGTTACAGCAAAGTAAAGGTTGACTGTTGTGTGTGTGTGTGTCATGTTCCGGAGCGCCTGGTTTATTAATTGTATTCGTGCTTTTTAACATGGGTCTCATGGCATGTTTGCTATGTGCAGCTGAGGAGAGGGAGATCAACAACGGCCGCTTTGCCATGTTCGCGGCTCTGGGTATCATCGCTGCAGAGCTCTACACTGGCAAGGACGCGATTGAGCAGTTCGGGCTGTGAATTGTTTGAGTCGGGTTTTGTGTGACTATTTGCTGGAGAGGGGGTATTTGCACAGATAAGTTTGGGCAAAGAGGCCCTGGACCCGGTGTTCCTTTGAACCCACCTGACAATCAAGTGCGTATGGTGTTCAGCGAATTTGCCCTTGCTTGCTTCCCCCTGTCCTAATTTCTTTAAGTTGGTTTTCAGCCTCGCACATGCGGCGGCTTTTTGCATCTTGGGTTTCGCCCAAGACCGCAAGACTCATTGCGGGCCAGAGTGCCTTGATAAACATGCGACTGAGCGGCATGCCTGCAATGGGAGTTTCGGACGTTGGCAGCTGCGTATTCAGCATTGACCGAATTGAATTAGATCATTCTCTCTGGTCAGAGGTTATAGGATTGTTGTTAGCCGTCAGCCCTGCAAATCCAGAAGTGCAAGCTGGCCATTTACATGAACCGCTTCTTGGAACAGTATTTGTCTTTATTTAAGATACTGCAGGGGTGTTTGACTCAAAACATCATCGTGTAGTTGCTAGCTAGCTTAGCCAGGCGGTGTGTGCATGATTGTGTGAACACTTGGGGCCAGTTTGGTTGTTAGATTGTTTGTTTGCTTAGGTTAGCGGTTTGTGAGCGAGGCATGTACTCATTTGGTCGATCCTTCAACGAGTCAACTGGTTGAATGCTCAGCTAATTTGCAAGTCGCTTTCTTTCGGTGGGAAAGCTGTGGATAAGTTCACGGGCTTTCCTCGAATGGTTTGCTCGCTTTTTAATTCACCAGTTGGTAGCCTGACTTACTGAAGCTAATTGTCCAAGTCGATATCTTCAGGTAAGCCCGCTGGATTGCTCCTTGTGTTTATTGGCCTGGATGCGGCGGACTTTCCTAAAACCCGGTTTTGCAGTCAACGCACTGCCAGGAAACCGGGTGACTTATTTGCTTGATGAGTTGGTCAGCTGGTGAGATAGCGAGGCATTGACTTAGACACGAGTTTAAGGGGAGTGTTATAAGGGTAGTGATTTGGAGCCTGTATTCGAACTCCCTGTATGACATGCTGTGATCGACTATGTTTACATGTCATTGTTGACTGGCCCAGAACAAGTATCACGAAAACTTGCTGCCATTCGCAAGTTGACTGCCTCTTTACAACCGGCTGTATTTGTGAGCTCCCTCACTTCAGAACTTGGCTGACATAATTCAATGACACTCGAGTAAACAGTTTGTTTTGGATCACAGCTCGCTCAGCCTTCCTGCCTTGTCATGGCTCCTCGCAGCTCCATGTTGGCCGCTGCCGGCATCGCGGCTGGTGGGTACATGGCTGCGCAGGCCTTCGTGCCTGGTGTCGCGGGGCCTGCGGTGAGCAACGAAGCCGGGGCAAGCCTGCGCGGAGCCGCAGCGGCCCCAGCACCTCAGGGCTCCGGCAGCGTGCTGCCTTTGATGGGCCTCGTCGGAGTGGGAGCCGTGGCTGCAGGGCGCGCAGGACGCATGGCCCGACGGGCAGAGCCTGTGTCCGCCGCTGCAGCAGCAGCTGCCGCCAAGGCAGGGGCGGCCGCCGCTGCCAAGGGTGCCGCCGCTGCCAAGGGTGCAACTGCAACCACTTCCGCCGTTGCCGGCTCTGCTGGCGCCGGATCCCTCTCCAAGGGCGAAGGTGTTGCAGGCAAGGGCAGCGGCAGCCCCTCCTTTGATCCCTCCACTCAGATTGGTGCCATGGATCCTCTCGGCTTTTTCGACCCCGCCGGCTTCTGCAAGAAGGGCGATGAGGCCGGCTTCCGCAACTTCCGTGCCGCTGAGATCAAGCAGCTTGGCGTTTCCCAGCCATACTAGACTTAATCTGTTCAGCACTTAGTGTGATTTACTACGTATCTCACTAAAGTTGTTTTCTTTCCGCAGGGGATCAACAAACCACGAAGGCACGGCCGTGTGGCCATGATGGCAGCACTGGGTGCAGTTGCGCAGCACTACATCAAGTTCCCTGGCTTCGAGTCCGTGCCTTCCGGCCTTGCTGCTTCCATCACTGCGCCCGGCAGCTATGGCTTCGTGGCCCTCTTCGGCCTGAGCGGCATCCTCGAGTTGGCTGCTTGGACCGAGAGCGATGACAAGGAGCCGGGCAACTTCGGCGACCCGCTGGGCCTGAACCAGTACAACCAGGAGATGCGCGAACCCTGGGCTGCAGAAGTTACAGCAAAGTAAAGGATGACTGGTGTGTGTGTGTGACTGCCGTGTGAGGGACGCCCATGATGACAGTGCCAGTGATCATCAGTGATCCAGTGATCCCTTCAAGACAATGTTTCGGAGTGACTGGTTTATTAATTGTATTTGTGCGTCAAAAAAAGTCTCATGGCATGTTTGGTATGTGCAGCTGAGGAGAGGGAGATCAACAACGGCCGCTTTGCCATGTTCGCGGCGCTGGGTATCATCGCTGCAGAGCTCTACACTGGCAAGGATGCAATTGAGCAGTTCGGGCTGTGAATTCTTTGAGTCGGATTTTGTTTGACAAACTATGTGCTGGACGGGGGCTACTTGCACAGACAAGTTTGGGCAAAGAGGTCCCGGACCCCGTGTTTCTTTGAACCAACCTGACAATCAAGTGATTTCGTTTTCAGCAATTTTGCCCTTGCTTGCTTCCCCCTGCCCTAATTTTCTTTAAGAAGGTTTTCAGCCGGGCGCTTTTCGCATCTTGGGGGTTTCGCCCAAGACCGCAAGACCCATTGCGGGAGTGCACACAAGAGATAAAGATGCTACGCTGAGCGGCATGCGTGCGACAGCAAACTTTTCAGATGTTTACAGATGTGCTAAAGGCTAAATGTACTTGCATATGGCATGCAGAGTGCGACGTGGACACTTGATGCCAAGGTTGATGTATACTCGCTAAAACAGATTGCCCGTGCGGGTTCTTGGCTGCGACCCCCATCCGCAGTTTCTTTTGAATAACAGCTCGCTCAGCCTTCCTGCCTTGTCATGGCTCCTCGCAGCTCCATGTTGGCCGCTGCCGGCATCGCGGCTGGTGGGTACATGGCTGCGCAGGCCTTCGTGCCTGGTGTCGCGGGGCCTGCGGTGAGCAACGAAGCCGGGGCAAGCCTGCGCGGAGCCGCAGCGGCCCCAGCACCTCAGGGCTCCGGCAGCGTGCTGCCTTTGATGGGCCTCGTCGGAGTGGGAGCCGTGGCTGCAGGGCGCGCAGGACGCATGGCCCGACGGGCAGAGCCTGTGTCCGCCGCTGCAGCAGCAGCTGCCGCCAAGGCAGGGGCGGCCGCCGCTGCCAAGGGTGCCGCCGCTGCCAAGGGTGCAACTGCAACCACTTCCGCCGTTGCCGGCTCTGCTGGCGCCGGATCCCTCTCCAAGGGCGAAGGTGTTGCAGGCAAGGGCAGCGGCAGCCCCTCCTTTGATCCCTCCACTCAGATTGGTGCCATGGATCCTCTCGGCTTTTTCGACCCCGCCGGCTTCTGCAAGAAGGGCGATGAGGCCGGCTTCCGCAACTTCCGTGCCGCTGAGATCAAGCAGCTTGGCGTTTCCCAGCCATACTAGACTTAATCTGTTCAGCACTTAGTGTGATTTACTACGTATCTCACTAAAGTTGTTTTCTTTCCGCAGGGGATCAACAAACCACGAAGGCACGGCCGTGTGGCCATGATGGCAGCACTGGGTGCAGTTGCGCAGCACTACATCAAGTTCCCTGGCTTCGAGTCCGTGCCTTCCGGCCTTGCTGCTTCCATCACTGCGCCCGGCAGCTATGGCTTCGTGGCCCTCTTCGGCCTGAGCGGCATCCTCGAGTTGGCTGCTTGGACCGAGAGCGATGACAAGGAGCCGGGCAACTTCGGCGACCCGCTGGGCCTGAACCAGTACAACCAGGAGATGCGCGAACCCTGGGCTGCAGAAGTTACAGCAAAGTAAAGGATGACTGGTGTGTGTGTGTGTGACTGCCGTGTGAGGGACGCCCATGATGACAGTGCCAGTGATCATCAGTGATCCAGTGATCCCTTCAAGACAATGTTTCGGAGTGACTGGTTTATTAATTGTATTTGTGCGTCAAAAAAAGTCTCATGGCATGTTTGGTATGTGCAGCTGAGGAGAGGGAGATCAACAACGGCCGCTTTGCCATGTTCGCGGCGCTGGGTATCATCGCTGCAGAGCTCTACACTGGCAAGGATGCAATTGAGCAGTTCGGGCTGTGAATTCTTTGAGTCGGATTTTGTTTGACAAACTATGTGCTGGACGGGGGCTACTTGCACAGACAAGTTTGGGCAAAGAGGTCCCGGACCCCGTGTTTCTTTGAACCCACCTGACAATCAAGTGATTTCGTTTTCAGCCATTTTGCCCTTGCTTGCTTCCCCCTGCCCTAATTTTCTTTAAGAAGGTTTTCAGCCGGGCGCTTTTCGCATCTTGGGGGTTTCGCCCAAGACCGCAAGACCCATTGCGGGAGTGCACACAAGAGATAAAGATGCTACGCTGAGCGGCATGCGTGCGACAGCAAACTTTGGAGAAGTTTGCAGATGTGCTAAAGGCTAAATGTATTTGCATATCGCTTGCAGAGTGCGCCCGGGACACTTGATGCCAAGGTTGATGTATACTCGCTAAAACAGGTCGCCCCCCATCCGCAGTTTCTTTTGAATAACAGCTCGCTCAGCCTTCCTGCCTTGTCATGGCTCCTCGCAGCTCCATGTTGGCCGCTGCCGGCATCGCGGCTGGTGGGTACATGGCTGCGCAGGCCTTCGTGCCTGGTGTCGCGGGGCCTGCGGTGAGCAACGAAGCAGGGGCAAGCCTGCGCGGAGCCGCAGCGGGCCCAGCACCTCAGGGCTCCGGCAGCGTGCTGCCTTTGATGGGCCTCATCGGAGTGGGAGCCGTGGCTGCAGGGCGCGCAGGACGCATGGCCCGACGGGCAGAGCCTGTGTCCGCCGCTGCAGCAGCAGCTGCCGCCAAGGCAGGGGCGGCCGCCGCTGCCAAGGGTGCCGCCGCTGCCAAGGGTGCAACTGCAACCACTTCCGCCGTTGCCGGCTCTGCTGGCGCCGGATCCCTCTCCAAGGGCGACGGTGTTGCAGGCAAGGGCGGCGGCAGCCCCTCCTTTGATCCCTCCACCCAGATTGGTGCCATGGATCCTCTCGGCTTTTTCGACCCCGCCGGCTTCTGCAAGAAGGGCGATGAGGCCGGCTTCCGCAACTTCCGTGCCGCTGAGATCAAGCAGCTTGGCGTTTCCCAGCCATACTAGACTTAATCTGTTCAGCACTTAGTGTGATTTACTACGTATCTCACTAAAGTTGTTTTCTTTCCGCAGGGGATCAACAAACCACGAAGGCACGGCCGTGTGGCCATGATGGCAGCACTGGGTGCAGTTGCGCAGCACTACATCAAGTTCCCTGGCTTCGAGTCCGTGCCTTCCGGCCTTGCTGCTTCCATCACTGCGCCCGGCAGCTATGGCTTCGTGGCCCTCTTCGGCCTGAGCGGCATCCTCGAGTTGGCTGCTTGGACCGAGAGCGATGACAAGGAGCCGGGCAACTTCGGCGACCCGCTGGGCCTGAACCAGTACAACCAGGAGATGCGTGAACCCTGGGCTGCAGAAGTTACAGCAAAGTAAAGGTTGACTGGTGTGTGTTTGTGTGTGACTGCCATGTGAGGGACGCCCATGATGACAGTGCCAGTGATCATCAGTGATCCAGTGATCCCTTCAAGCCCATGTTACGGAGTGCCGGGCGTATTGATTGTAATTGTATTTGTGCCTTTAAGAAATAAGCTCAGGCGATTTCCCCAACAGCACACCACCCTCCCAGAACCCTCGCAGAACTTCGTGAAACCCTCGTGGAACCCTGGTGGAACCCTCGTGGAACCCTCGTGGAACCTTACCTCAAAACCGCCCCGGACTACCCCAGAGCCTATCTGGGCTGAGACCCCAAAGCTTACAGCTGTTGGGGAAAAAGAAGAAAAATAGGTCTCCTGGCGTGTTTGGTATGCAGCTGAGGAGAGGGAGATCAACAACGGCCGCTTTGCCATGTTCGCGGCGCTGGGTATTGTCGCTGCAGAGCTGTACACTGGCAAGGACGCTATTGAGCAGTTCGGGCTGTGAATTCTTTGAGTCGGATTTTGTTTGACAAACTATGTGCTGGACGGGGGATACTTGCACAGACAAGTTTGGGCAAAGAGGTCCCGGACCCCGTGTTTCTTTGAACCCACCTGACAATCAAGTGATTTCGTTTTTAGCCATTTTGCCCTTGCTTGCTTCCCCCTGCCCTAATTTTCTTTAAGAAGGTTTTCAGCCGGCGGCTTTTCGCATCTTGGGGGTTTCGCCCAAGACCGCAAGACCCATTGCGGGCCAGTGCACACAAGAGATAAAGATGCTACGCTGAGCGGCATGCGTGCGACAGCAAACTTTTCAGATGTTTACAGATGTGCTAAAGGCTAAATGTACTTGCATATGGCATGCAGAGTGCGACGTGGACACTTGATGCCAAGGTTGATGTATACTCGCTAAAACAGATTGCCCGTGCGGGTTCTTGGCTGCGACCCCCATCCGCAGTTTCTTTTGAATAACAGCTCGCTCAGCCTTCCTGCCTTGTCATGGCTCCTCGCAGCTCCATGTTGGCCGCTGCCGGCATCGCGGCTGGTGGGTACATGGCTGCGCAGGCCTTCGTGCCTGGTGTCGCGGGACCTGCGGTGAGCAACGAAGCCGGGGCAAGCCTGCGCGGAGCCGCAGCGGCCCCAGCACCTCAGGGCTCCGGCAGCGTGCTGCCTTTGATGGGCCTCGTCGGAGTGGGAGCCGTGGCTGCAGGGCGCGCAGGACGCATGGCCCGACGGGCAGAGCCTGTGTCCGCCGCTGCAGCAGCAGCTGCCGCCAAGGCAGGGGCGGCCGCCGCTGCCAAGGGTGCCGCCGCTGCCAAGGGTGCAACTGCAACCACTTCCGCCGTTGCCGGCTCTGCTGGCGCCGGATCCCTCTCCAAGGGCGACGGTGTTGCAGGCAAGGGCGGCGGCAGCCCCTCCTTTGATCCCTCCACCCAGATCGGTGCCATGGATCCTCTCGGCTTTTTCGACCCCGCCGGCTTCTGCAAGAAGGGCGATGAGGCCGGCTTCCGCAACTTCCGTGCCGCTGAGATCAAGCAGCTTGGCGTTTCCCAGCCATACCCGTAGACTTAATCTGTTCAGCACTTAGTGGGATTTACTACGTATCTCACTAAAGTTGTTTTCTTTCCGTAGGGGATCAAACCACGAAGGCACGGCCGTGTGGCCATGATGGCAGCACTGGGTGCAGTTGCGCAGCACTACATCAAGTTCCCTGGCTTCGAGTCCGTGCCTTCCGGCCTTGCTGCTTCCATCACTGCGCCCGGCAGCTATGGCTTCGTGGCCCTCTTCGGCCTGAGCGGCATCCTCGAGTTGGCTGCTTGGACCGAGAGCGATGACAAGGAGCCGGGCAACTTCGGCGACCCGCTGGGCCTGAACCAGTACAACCAGGAGATGCGCGAACACTGGGCTGCAGAAGTTACAGCAAA